AGAAGGGTAGCCTCTGTTCTTGACATTCAGGCAGAGGAGGTCTGTGAGAGTTCTCACAAGTTAGTGGACATTGTTACCAATGGCCCTTTCTAAAATGGCTCTGCTGATTAATGAAGCAACTTATGGAGCCAGTTAAGGCACTTGAGTAGACCCCCCCACCCCATATCCCACAACAAAATGGGCCAAGAGGAGGTACTACGACCGTCCTAAAGGATATGAGCATTTGTATTCTCATCCTCCTCCAGGCTCCTTAGTAATGGCAGCTACTAACCAGCAGGAGAGGTAAGGACACCCAAGCATCAACATGTAAAGGCAAAGATTCAAAAAGACTAGACTTGCTGGGTCGCAAACTTTAATCCTTGCGAAGTCTGCAATTTAGGATTGCAAACCAGCAGGCACTCTTGAGTCGCTATGACATCATGCTTTGGGAAAACATTAAATTCAAGGACAGGTTACCAGAGAGCTGCAGGCAGGAGTTCACTGTAATGATGGAAGAAGGTAAGTTGGTTACCAGAACTGATCTTCAGGACAGTTTGGATGGTGTGGACTCAGCAGCTCGAACCATGGCATCAGCTATTACTTTAAGATGTTCATGGTTTCAGTCCTCTGGGCTCCCCCAGAGGTCCGCCAGACCTTTCTCGACGTGCATTCGAAGGTCCTCCTTTGGTTTTGGATGACTTAACAATAAGCTCCAGAGACCCCCTGTGGGATGCCAGGAGATATGTCCTCCCAGTTTGACAATGAATCATGGATAACTATGAGTATGGGCTTTCAACCAATTGTGCACCCACCTTATAGTAATTTCATTTAGACCACATTTCCTTAGTTTACTAATGCCTTTTATGACCCTTGCTAGGTGTAATTCATTTTGTGCCTTAGTTTTTAATTTTATCTCTACATTCCTGTGGTATTTGGTACTTGTCTTTAGCTATTTGTCTGTGTCCACTTTTTGTAGAATTCCCTTTGGATTTTCAGGTCATTAAAGAGCTCTTGATGGTGCCATATTGGCTTCTTACTGTACTTCCTCTCTTTCCTTCACATTGAGCTATTCTGCCTTAAATATTGTCTCTGAGAAACTGCCAACTCTCCTGAATTCCTTTTCTCCTTAGTTTTCTTCCCCTGTGACCTTACTTGCCAGTTCTCCAAGGTTTTTTTTGGTCTGTTTTTTTGAAGTCCATTGTCCTTATTCTGCTGCTCTCTCGTCTTCCTTTCCTTAGCATGATATCTGTCGTTTCATGATCACTTTCACCCAGATTGTTTTCTACCTTCAGATTCGCAACCAATTCCTCCCTGTCTCCCTCGTTACTTCCTCCACCTTCTGAAACAGGTGGTCTCAAATACATTCCAAGAATTTATTGGACATTGTGTTTTGCCCTATTACTTTTGTAACAGATGTCTGGGTAGTTAAAGTTCTCCATTATTACCAGGGGTCTTGGATTCTGGATATTGCTGTTACTTGTTGTAGAAGTACACCCTCCTCATCCACCTCCTCTGCCTGATTTGGTGGTCTATATTGACCCCTACCATGACATCACTCTTGTTTCCCCTCCACCCCCGCTTATCTTCACCTAGAAACTTTCAGCTGGTCTGCATCTGACCTACTTCTGGACTTCAGAACAAGTGTATATGTTCTTGATGTATAATGCAACACCTTCTCCCTTTTTTCCCTGCCTGTCCTTCCTGAACAAGCTCTACTCTTCTATACCAATATTCCAATCATGAGGTTTATCCCACCAAGACTTATCAGTGATGCCAATTAAGTCATAATATGTGCACTACTACTTCCAGTTCTTCCTATTTATTCCCCATGTTCTTGCATTTGTGTATAGTCATCCCACGATGTTGAGCACATTCCCCTGCTCTTTTTCCTCTTGTTGCTCCTATTGACCTGGTTGTAATTTTCCATTTTGCCCCTATCCCTCCTCCCCCAACATCTAGCTCTCTGTTTGTTGCCTTTTTTTATGCCTACTTGGGACTTTTGTCACCTGCCCCCTTTGAACCTAGTTTAAAATGAGGTATTATGCTGTAAAGCCATAGCTTGTTTACATACAGTATTTGGTAAATAACCCAGTTCTTAACTGGTGCTATGAAATAAGCCCAGTCTTCAAGTTTATATCTTTGTTTTTTCTAGCCCTTCTGTTCCCTTTTCAGCCATTAATCTTCCTGTCTGACATATTGGATTCTTATTTAATTAGACTTGTCATTACCAGTATACATTTAATCAATTCAGATGTACTGGACTTAACACCCAAATGAAATGGTCATAAATAGATTATATAAGAGCTGTCTTTAGAAGAGCAGTAAAATGCCATTATATAAACTCAGTCTCAAACCCAATGTACATCTAATCTCCTGGAAACCCTGTGGTGGTGAGCTGGGATGATAGAGGGAGGAAGAAATCACAGCAGGGGCTGAAGAGAAATGAGAGGTAAAGACTAAAGATTTCATTTCAGAATGAGGGATTCTAGATCATAGGATTGTGTTCAGAAAAGCTGGTTTAAGGGTTGGGAACAGCAGGAGCTACAAAGAAAGGACATTTCCTGATTTAAGGCACAGTAGGGGGAAAAAAATTGTGAACATTATCCTTTAATTTCTGGACCTCCATATTTATTATGATGGTTTCTAATATATGTTTAAAATATTTTGTTCATTGCGATTGTTTATGTAAATATATATTTCCATACTTCAGTAAATTACAGTGCAATTTTTTTTCTCAATTACTACTTATAATAGGTTCAGAAGGAAGCTACCTCTGTATCATCTTGGATGTAAAAGCAGGAGCTTGGATGAACACCAAAAGGAGAATGTCTGCAGTGCACTAATTTAATGGATGTGAAACATTTTAGTCTTGAATTGTATATTTTCTTGTAAATAACAGTGAAATTTAACTTCTGAAGATCTGTTTGCCTAATAAAGATTAATTCAAATTTAATACTGATTGAAATTAAAGAACTTTGTCCACTATTTGAACTTGTTACCCTTCTCCTCAAAAGTGTAACTATTGCTAATAGACAAAATACTCATTTTACAAAAAATTGTCAGTGTAGGAGAGAATATGGTAATGTTTATTGTACATTGAAAAGCAGACCTGTAGAGGACCAAACCTAAATGTGTACTGCTAAAAACAAAGGGGTCATCTTCCTGAAAGGATATTTTGAAAAACTCTGGAATTAGGAAGATTTTTGTGGGGAGGTGGCTACTGTATATAAACTTAGCTTTGCTAGAGTAAGATGGTAAAATATTGCTAAAAATTTCCCCAAAATAAATCTCCATGTCCCTTTTTTTCCATAGAAAGTGAAGAAATTGAATCTGTTGCAAGTAAATCATTACCTCAAAGCTTATTTAGTTTTTGGCCTTTCATACTTTGTTAGCATGAAAAGTACTTACACATTGTAGAGAACAGGGAGCTAATGATCATTAAAGTGTTCAGTTTATCTAGCAACTGACGCTGAAACATGAAGCACTTCAGAAATAATTAGGTTACCTTTTTTTGCTCTTTTTACTTTAGAAATATCACAAATATGAAGTCTTGCCAGAGTCTTCCTTAGAGGACTAAAAAACTGGAGTGGGAACCCCACTCTGTTCTTAATAGAATATGTTTAAAGAAACTTTCCATGTTGAGATTCCCTACCCATACATTTTAAGCTTTTTTTCCCCTTCAAACTAGCCATTAGAAAACCCATTGACAAGTCCTTTTTAAAGTAGTTTTACTTATGTAGTTACATATTACATATCCATGCTATACCTTTTCACAGATACTTCTGGGCAGCACTTTCAGAAAATGTCAACACCAAATAAGAGAGCTTTGTATTCTAACAAGAAGCTTAAAACAAGTACACAAATCTGAAACTGTTAAGAGTTCCTGGTCAGCCTGTGAGTCTCAATTTTTATATCCCCCTTCCCATTTACTCCCTCCTCCCTTTTGCACAAAGATAGCTAAAATGTTAATTCTGCTGGCCAAATCCACCTCACTGGATAACTTGAAGGATACAGCAGAATTACAGCTGAAGCTATCTACAAGGTATGCTTCTTGGCCCATAGGTGTAACCCTTTTACTGGTTTTTTTAGGTCTGTTTAAAAAACACCAATCTGTTAATCAGACTAACTTTTATTCTGCTGGAAGTCTTTGCCTCTGACATTTTCTTATCTACAAGTGGAAGTTGCTACCTCTATAAAAAAAAAAAAAGAGTACCTGTTCAAGGAATAAGTACAGCATACTTTTGAGATGGTATGTGAAATCCAAAAACTCTGCAACTTCCTGGGAACCCACCTCTCTAATAATGTGGCAGTCTTAATCTCCTAGTGGAAGTGGAGCTGACTATGCTTCAGTGTTTAAACCAATCTCTGTTAGGGGGGGCCAATTATCTCAGGCACTGATGTAGCCAAGATAAGTGTGATAAAAACTGGATACTGTTTTCACATTTAAGTTTTCAACCCTGCACAGGGGACAGAGGAAAGTAGTAATGCATCTATAAGGAATTTACTTACACTCTTGAAAAAAAGATTTGTTGATTTCACTGTTTCAGTGTGCATGGGAAGAGTTGGAGGGAAAATTTTACACAGATATGCTTGTAAATATTTCTATAGAATACAATATATTTCTCCATGGAATAAGATGTTTTTCCTTTAATGCTTTGCTCTTTGGAACTTGAGTTTGAGGGTAGAAACATCAAGGAAGTGCACTTAAACCTGCTGTATCAAATTTGGAAACCTACTACCTGCCAAAATGCCCCATCATTCTGTATAGTATGCTTCACAGCTTTTTTTCAGAGCCAAGCTTTGATACCCAGATCTGGGCAAAAAAAACTGTTAGAACGTGTCAACCTTCAGCAAAACTGTTTTGTTTGTTCCCCAGAGAGATACATCTCAGGAAGCCCTTAGTCAAGTGACCCCAGATTTGGATCAATATTCCTACCTCAAACCCCTACAAAGCACAGCAAATTTCAAGGCACCCAAGCACATAATACAGCATTTAGAAGAGCCATGTTTTAAAGAGAGCTGGCCTCCACTATAATTACTGAATGTATGCCAAGACCTAGGACCTGTTTAAACGTGCTGGGAGGTGCAGGCAAAGGGGAGGGGAGCAGGCTTTCTAGCAGCAGTCTAAAAGCATTGCAAATAAGAATTAAAAAATGAAGTGCAGGAATGTCACAGTGAATAAGCCAGCAATCAGCGTAATACTTCCTTGGATGAAATTTCCTGCAGAAAACTTCACTCGTCCTTCAACTGCTGGAAAAACAGGTCCCATTCTAGAAATGTAACTGGAAACTACTTCAACATCAAGATCACCTAGATAAACAGAAGTTATACATATATATATATAGTGAAATTAATAGTAATGTTAAATAGCACCCTCAAACTTTGTATTCTTGATTCTCATTTTAAACTAATTTCCCTTGAAGAAGGAATTGCTTTCTACTACATGTTCATATTCAGGAGAGCACAATTATTTATGACAGTGGTTTTCAACCTTTGGTCTGCAGACCCCTGGGGGTCCACAGACTATGTCTAAGATTTCTAAAGGGTTCCACTCCTCCATTTGAAAATTTTTAAGGTTGCAAACCACTGGTTTATGACATCAAGGGACTGGGGAAATAACAATGGATTATAAATGTGTCTTCTACGGGGATGGACAGCTGGAACAGTTCAACTATTGTGAAAAGTTTTTTCCAGAATGTCCCGCTGGGCAGCTGAAAGTTTATTGGGAAAAGCATTGCCCTTGCCATAGTTACTTTGGTTTATCTTTGTAGGGTTACTAGTGCATATCTAGCATGTTTACATACACAGGGATCCAGAGTCCCATCTCCAAAGGATTCTCTGACACTGTGCATTGTTATGCAGGTAACAGGTATGTATAGCTGAGAGGTTATGCACTGTACCTTTCCAGTGTTACATCTTTAGTATGTTTTGGAACTGTGTGCGTCCTTGTGCACACAGACTGTGTGTGAATTTTCCATCAGTATGTTAATTTATTTCTGCAGAGGGTTTTACTGGGAGTTGTTTTAACATTACAAAAGAAGTGGTAACTATGCAAAATATATTCACCTAATGAAGATAAAGGCACTATAGATTAACTGACTTTGAAATAGCTCTGGCTCAAAAGATCCCATCTGTGAGGGACGCGATAACCATAGACTCTCAGACTAAGGTCAGAAAGGACCACCACTGAACTCTTGCACATTGCAGGCTACAGACCCTCACTCCACCTAATAGACCCCTAGCCTCTGGCTGAGTTACTGAAGTCCTCAAATCAGGGTTTAAAGACTTCAAGTTACAGAGACTCCACCATTTACACTAGTTTAAACCTGCATGTGAGCCAGGCCCTATGCTGAAGAGGAAGGTGAAAAACTCCCAGGTCTCTGCCAATCTGACTCGGGGGAAAATTCCTTCCCTACCCAAATATGGCGATCAGTTAAACCCTGAGTATGTGAGCAAGACCCACCAGCCAGACACCTGGGAAAGAATTCTCTGTAGTAACTCAGAGCTCTCCCCATCTACTGTCCCAGATCCACCCATTGGGGATTTTTGCTACTGGCAGTTGCCAATAGGCCACATGCCATTGCAGGCAGTCCTGTCATACCAGCCCCTCCATAAAACTATCAAGCTCAGTCTTGCAGGTTTTTTGCCCCCACTGCTCCCCTTAGGAGGTAGCTCCAGAACATCACCCCTCTGATGGTTAGAAACCTTCACCTAATTTCAAGCTTAAACTTGTTGATGGCCAGTTTATATCCCATTTGTTCTTGTGTCTACACTGGTGCTTAACTTAAACAAGTCCTCTCCCACCCTGGTATTTATCCCTCTGATGTATTTATAGAGAGCAATCATCTCTCCCCTCAGCCTTCTTTTGGTTAGACTAAACAAGCCAAGCTCTTTGAGTTTCCCCTCAAAGTAGGTTTTCCATTCCTCAGATAATCTGAGTAGCCCTTCTCTGCAGCTGTTCCAATTTGAATTCATCCTTCTTAAACATGGGAGACCAGAACTGCACATAGTATTCCAGATGAGGTATCACTTCCCTGTCTCTACTGGAAATACTTCACCTGATGCATCATAGGATTGCATTAGTCTTTTTCTCAGCCACATCACATTGACAGCTCATAGTCATCCTATGATCAACCAATACACCCACATCTTTCTCCTCCTCTGTCATTTCCAACTGACATAAGTCCCTAGCTTATAGCAAAAATTCTTCTTGTTAGTCCCTAAGTGCATGATCTTGCACTTTGTACTATTAAATTTCATCTAATTTCTATTACTCTAGTTTACAAGGTCATCCAGATCTTGTATGATATTACAGTCCTCCCCCATATTAACAATATCTCCCACCTTTGTGTCATCCACAAATTTTATTACCTCACTTTTTATGCCAAAGTCAGTAATAAAAAATGTTAAATAAGATTGATCCCAAGACCGCTCCTTGAGGAACTCCACTAGTAACCTCCCTCCAACCTGACAGTTCACCTTTCAGTATGACCCATTGTAGTCTTCCATTTAACCAATGTCTTATCCATCTTCCAAGTCTCATATTAATCCCCATCTTCTCCAATTTAATAATTTCTCATGTGAAACTGTATCGAATGCCTTAGTGAAATCCAGGTAGATAAAATCTGTTGCATTTCTATTGTCTAAAAAAACAGGTATCTTCTCAAAGAAGAAGATCAGGTTGCTCTGGCATGATCTACTTTGTGTAAAACCATGTTGTATTTTATCCCAATTATTGTTCACCTCTATGTCCTTAACTACTTTCGCTCTCAAAATTTGTTCCAAGATCTTGAATATAACTGAGGTCAAACTAACAGGCCTGTAGTTTCCTAGATCACATTTCCCCCCCTTTCTTAAAAATAGGATCTATATTAGCAATTCTCCAGACATAGGGTATGACTAATGAGTTTACACATTCATTAAAATCCTTGCTATTGGACTTGCAATTTCATGTGCCAGTTCCTTTAATATTCTTGGATGGAGCTTATCCAGGCCCCTCGCTTTAGTCCCATTAAGCTATTTGAGTTTAACTTCCACCTCAGATGTGTAATTTCTACCTCCATATCCTCATTGCCATTAGCCACCCTGCCACTACCCCAAGCTCTTCATTAGCCTCATTAAAAACTGAGGCAAAGTATTTAAGTGTTGGACCATGCCTAGATAATCTCATCTCCACCCCATTCTCAGCAATCCCACTTCTTCTTCCCTTACTTATATGGCTATAGAACCTTTTACTATCGGTTTTAATTTCCTTTGCAAAGTCCAACTCTGCTTGGCTTTGGGCAGCTCTTACTTTATCCCTACACTTTCTGACCTCCAAAAAGTAGCTTTCATTACTGATCCCTCCCTGCTTCCATTCCTTGCAGGCCTTCTGCTTTCTCTTAATCACCTGTTTGAAATACTCAGCCAGCCAGCTTGGTCTGCAACCCTTCCCTACGAATTTTTCCCCATGTTTGGGATGCAGGCTTCAGATAGTTTCTACAGCTTTGGACTTAAGTAATTCAAAGCCTCCTCCACATTCAGCTCTTTCAGTTCTTCAGTCCAGTCCACTTCCCTAAACAGTTCCCTTCAGTTGAAATCAAGGACCCTTATTGCAGATCTATTTTTGTTTATCCTTCCACTTAGTTTAAATTGAATTAGCTCATGATCACTCAAAACAAAGTTGTCCTCTATGATCAGTTCTTCGATGAGGTCCTCACTACTCACCCCTACCAAATCTAAAATGGCATCACCTTTTGTTGAAGACCAAAAGGGAACTTTCTTTATATTTTTGTGAACTGAGCTAACAGGACTGTAGCCAGTCTGGAAATGGGAGACCCATCAACGTCAGGTAACATTACAGACCAAATGAAAACTTGTGCTAGATCTAGAAGCATGCCTTTACAGGGTACTCTGTTTTATGGGAGGCTCTGTCCTTTGTGTATCTTCAGAAATGAATTTGAATAAAACAAGTGGCTGTTAATTATATATGTTAAACATGAAATCCTTTAAAAGTTTTTCTTCCTAACAGATTTGGATGGCAGCTATACAGGGCAGAGTATTGTACTTGCTAAACACTTAAATGCTGTTTTAAGTATTCTTAAAATGGCGTTAGAAAAATCCATTCATTTTCTTTCCCTCTGGTGCTGGCTTGGCTTTTATTCTTGTACCATCAGTTGCATGTTGATGCTATATACTCGCTCGTGACTAGTCATAATCTGATACAGGGCTCCAATACGAGAAAATGACGCAGCGCTAGCTTTTAAAATGCTGGCTCTATTTTGTACAGAATAAGGATTTTTTCCCCCCTTCTATAACCTGTTTCCATGTTGTCCAGTGGATACCTCAGTACCTGGCGATGCAGCTTTGGTGATCCACACATGACACTGACTCTCCTTTAGATTTTAGACTAAACTTTTTGGTAAAAGCTACTTGAGCAAGTATATTTCTAGTGGGTAGCATGTTTGAGGTGTAGGCACGTTTGACGTGTAGCATGTTTGAGGTGAAGATGAAAGCAGCCACTCTCTTTTCATTTATTATTGTGCACGGCGTACCTATTGCAGATACCACCAGTGGCCCCTCTGGCACGCTTCTGCTCATTTCCTTAAAATTATACGTTAGTGACACTGTTTCCTGCTCTGTGCTAGTCTAAGCTGTTACATGCAGCCAGAGAACCTGATTCTGAGAGATGCTGATTTCAATGGAAGTTGCAGGCGCTTAGTTTCTCTCAGGATCAGGCCTAACAATTATCAACTGAAAGATACGGAGCCCTGAGTGTTCAGCGACTCAAAGCAAATTATATCCATTCTATTTAAGATGAAACCGTGAGGTCTCGTATTATAGCAACATCTTTAACATTCTTAAAACTAGGAGGATGTTAGTCTTTGATGTCCACTACATGGCTAATAGCTTGCTACATATTCAATATGGAGTGTCTATGCTTACCCTGATTGTGACTCAGTGATTTAGTTTTTAGCATAGAATATCCATCTCCTCCCTGCTGCAGAAAAGAAGGAAGAATCACTTTGTACGTTTCATCCATTTGGAGTGGTACATAGGCTGGTACTCTACAGGCCGTGCAAAGAACTTCTATGCTGACAACTCTGCTTCCTGGTGGTCTGGAAAGATCGTAGACCACATGAATGCCTAGGAGAAAACACATTTTTAGACATCACTTTAAATAGCTCCAATTGAGCACCTCAGATCCATAGAATCATTAAAAGGACACTCTACACTTCCACATGTGAGAATTAGGCCTGACTTTTGAAAGAGAACATTCTTATTGTAAATAGCTTCCTGCCCTGTCCCCCTCTTACACACAAATCAGCTCTTACTCTTTACTCCAGAAAATTCATGGTTACTGGAACTGTGAGAACAGAGGGAGCATCCCATCTCAAGCTCCATACCCTTTTTCTTTTCCCGGTTCCCTCCTGGCTGCTGACACACACAAACAGTTCATTGGGGAGTGGGTGGGATTATGATATTGGAGGTCAGAGACCTCCCCTCTTCACCATATTCCTAGTCTGCCTCCTTGTCATGCATTTGTTTACATACTATTATCTTACTGGTTGAAATGAGCTAGTATGAAGGAATGTGCCAACACATGGTTATTACAGATAGTGGCTATGTTCTTCATTCTTTTTTGTACTGTAGCTACTAACTCAAATCAATCTAGGTTCTATGGACTTCTTGGCCTCCTTGTACACTACGTATGGAAGTTTAAGTAGTGATGGTATAACTCGGGCCATAACTCATTAATACAGTATTAAAATGCAGAGCCAGACAATGAAACCTACCAACCATGCAATTACATTAAGGTGTCTCTTAATTTGAGGGCAACAGCATGAACGTGCAGTAGAGCTAGCATTAAAGGAAGTACAAACAAGTCAAGATAATAACCAGTCGAGTACAGGAAACAACTCCCTTCAAAAGGATTAGTAATCCAATCAATATAGTTATTAGGGTACCTTACAGTCAGATCATAGCACAGTGACACTGGTGACAAACTGACCAGAGAGAAAGGACAGTTGAGGTTACCCAGTTACTGGACTGATTTAGTGCAGTTTTTTTTACCAAAGGATTGAAAACAGGAACCAGGAAATAGGAGTCTGCAGGGAAGCCAGACACACCTCTCTAGGTCAATTTTAAGCAGAACGTTATTTTACCTTCCTTAGAGGCAGGTACCCTAATTAGTCAAAAGTGCCAGTCAAGCCATTGCTATAACAAACAGATTATTGAAATAAAGGGGAGTACCCTACCCACTGCTCTGGAACTGCTACAGTACAAGATGTATTACAGAATCTGGTGCAGCTGCTCCCGCATGTCTCCTCGGGCTGGTTAAGAACGTTCTTACATGAACAGATGTGAATGAGATGTTTCTTACCTGGTCATTCTCTTTCTGTTAGTAGTTTCTATCCTCATTCATTACTAATGGGTTAATGTCCCCCACCTATGGTATTTGGAGGTGGTCCAGTGTTGTTGCTGGAGGCCCTAGAACTAAGCCCTGCCCGTCAGCTCAGGCCACCTGAAGAGTTGTTCCAAAGCTAGAGAAATGCTCCAACAACCTATTATTAGCATTAAGAGAACAACTTGATATAGTGTATTAATTAACTTTAAGACAATATATGTCCAAGTTGCCCTTCAGAGAAAAATTTCTATTTTGTATTCTGGTCATTTACCAGACTAGCAAGGCAGGTTGACTTCAGAGAAAAGCTGCTAACAGAAAAAATTATCTGGTAAGAAGTTTCTTATTCTGTTTCACAGCTTCTGTCCTCATTCATCATTAATGGGAAGTAGGAAGTAGTAAATCCTAGAAGTGGGGGGAGGGAATCATAGGGTTAGAAGGGACCACAAGGGTCATCTAGTCTAACCCCCATTTTTAGGAATAATTAAAAAACTCTGCTCATCCTTATTACATAGAATAATAGGCAGGACTGGATGCTCTTACCATATAAAGCAAGAGATTTGTAAGCTAACAAGTTACATGGAAATCAACCTAGTAGCACCTTCCTACCAAAGGATGCCGCGGTAGGGGAATGGAAACTTACTTTGCATGTCTTCCTCAGATGAGGCTCAGACACGTATTTCCCAGTGCCCACAGGGACTTCTGTGAATAGTTTCCCAGATGCCCAGCATGCCAACTGGTGCAGAATTTAATGGCCTGCCTGTGGCAAACTTGAGGCCCTAATGCCCTGGCATTTTGGATGGCCAAAATGATGGCACTATCTCCCAGAAATTGTGGAAAGAACTTACCTTGAATAGAAAAGATTCTGGAGTTATAAGAATAACCTTTTCCTCATGACAACATCAGTGTGGTTCTTGTATAGATTGAGGAACTAATTCCAAAGCTTGCCTTTCAGGGGTAATGGCAATTAGAAAAACCAGCCACAGGACCTGTCTAATCTGTCATTGACTCATTTTGGCATCTGATGATACTCAAATGGAGCATCCAGTGAGCCTACCTACAGAATGCCACTAGGGCTGGTACCTGTTTTTATGGTGCTTGGGATGTAGGACTCCAGCCCGTCATCCTGACAAAACCCTAATGTAGCTCAGATCACCAGGACTTTGTAACTATTATAATGTGTATCACAATAGCATCTAGAGGTTAGGATCCCGATGTGCTCGGCACTGCACAAAGAGGCAGTTTCTGCTGCTTCCCCTTGCACTAGAAACATACATTTGGCCAGATCAATACATGAGACTTCCTGGCTGAGTTCTGTCAAGATACCAAACTGTAATGGAGAATCCATGCTGAACTACACTTTTCTTCCGATGCCCAGGCTGTTAATTGTAGGTGTTCCTGGTCTGAATGAAGGAATCTCTGCTTCAAGAGATTTGGTCTCTTCAGCAGGTACAATGTGGGGTCCTTGACTATCTAGCAAGTCCAAAGTGCTTTCTGGGCCAGTGGAGACCTTCAGCTCTCCCTTTATCTTTATGTAAACTGTCTTGAAAGGCAGCGGACTGTTTTCTATCCAGGACATTATTTCCATTCCCACAGAGAAACTTTGAGCTCTGGTTACTCCCTGGTTTTGGAAGGGATACAATCAATCATAAGACAAGCTTGAATGGAAGGTAGTAGGCGACTTCTCTGTGATTGCCTGGTAGGTGGTCTCTGCACCTTCTACTGGTGCAGCTGGTACTAGCCACTGTCACACTGTCATAGACTTTAATGGACTTAATGGACTATTGGTCCAATTCCATGTGACTATGTTTGTGCTTTTTAGTTTTTTGTCCAGACACATCCTGATAGTGCTGTCAAAGTGAACTAAAGGGATGGGTACTCTGTGCTTTTGGAAGTCTGTCTTCCAAATATGCTCCCCAGTCAGGCTTGCTTCCAGAGTGAGTATGCAAGGTCTAGAGTGAAAATTGGGTTAACTCTCAGCATGTTGTTTGCACCCATCTGCGCACAAAGGGGCCTTCAGATGTGATCTCAGAATGACACCTCATTTTCCACTGCATCAATTGCATGTTTCTAGGCTCTCAGAAAGAATTTCTGCAGGCACATTTTCAGGAACCCGCTCAGGGGATAGAGCTGATGCATGATACCAGCAATCCTACTCATTGGAGACAACTGGCTACTGATGACCCCCTCAGGAAGTGACTGATGCAAAGTCTTTGATCTTTGCAAATCTTTACCGTTATGGTAAAATTACAGCCAGAGCCATGTCTGTTTTGAAATCTAAGTGAGCAATTCTCTGCATTGGGATCAAAAGCTCTTCTTGATTTTGAAGGACCTGTAGCTATGAATCCTTTCCAGCAGCTTTCCAGTTATGACTGAGTCTGTGTAAGGGGAGGGATAGCTCAGTGGTTTGAGCATTGGCCTGCTAAACCCAGGGTTGTGAGTTCAATCCCTGAGGGGGCCATTTAGGGCTATGGGGCAAAAATCTGTCTGGGGATTGGCCCTGCTTTGAGCAGGGGGTTGGAGTAGATGATCTCCTGAGGTCCCTTCCAACCCTGATATTCTATGAGTTATCCCTGAACCAGAGCCTGCTTAAACCACATGCATAGATGAGTCACTCCTGTGCTAGGTTCCAGCCAAGCCACATGCCTGGAGCTGGTTTGGTGACTCATGAGTTGGAACTCTTCTCTACCTGATAGCGGAAACAGAATCCACAAGTCATAGCCTGCTCCAGGCTTGTTCCTCATCCTGTCCCTGCCTTGCTCTTACTCTCACTTTGTTCCAACCCTGCTCTGGACTCCTGATCCTGGCTCTGGCTGCTGCCACAGCTCTGACCACCAGGCCTGACCATCCCCATCACGGTTTCTGATAGACTATTTCCCTGCACAGGGTACTGATTGGCATGCTAGCTATGCAGGGATATAGGATTAATGTGTGACCTGTGCTTTACTCTGACTACTACCTGCCACTTAAGACTCAGGATGCAGAGGGTGAATCAGAAGGAAGAATCTTGTGGTGGAACTGTAAGCTCTTGTACACAAATGCACACCCCCACCCCCGTCATGCTGAGGATTTTGTTGGTTTGAAAGAAAACGTACCTAGGTTTCCTTGGACGTTTCTGTTTGTAGCATAAATATGAAATTAAAGAATGTGTCAGCTTAAGCTTGGTTAAGGAAATAGATGCATGTTGCAAAGAAAGGCCCTGACTCACAAGCAGAAGGGAGGCCTTGAAAACAAGGAGTTATAAGGCCAGAAGGAATGAAGTAGATAGGATATCTGGCTCAAAGAATAACTGAGATAAGGGGACGCTTCTAAAAAGAAGACCTCTGGCTGATAAGGGTGACTGCAGATGGTTTTAAATAAGAGAAAGGAAATCTGTCTAAAAAGGAGCCAACATAAATAATGTTCCCACCCCACAGACCAGTATTATTTTAAAAGTAGAGCCTATCTGAAGCCAGGTGCAATGGAAAACTGTTGGCCAGAAAGGCCTTGGGAAGAAAGGGGGTTGTTAATCTTATCTGAATTAAGACTGGAACGAAGAAGGAATTGTCTCAAATTGGTTTTTTATCTGAAGTCAGTAATTGGCAATGACATCACTTGTTTGTTAAAGGGTATAAAAAGAGTTTTGAATTTGAGGGTTCTTTGTCAGATCCTACCTGATCTGCCCAAATGAGATAGCTTTCCCTAGGCCTGGCCTACTTGTAAGTATAATGATCACGGCCATGAATACTTTGTTACTGTATTGGGTGTAGTGACTTTATTTTCAGGCTGTTAGGCATGTTTAGAGCAATTGTATAAAATACCATTTTGCCTTTGTACTTAATATAGGAATTTATGGTTAAATTAGTGTCTGGTGGTCTCATATTATTCATATGAATTTCTAATATTATTCATAATTCCAGCCCTACTCCAGATTTTTCTTCTGCTAGAGGAATAATCCCTTCTTGGATACCCTTGGTATTGGTAGCAACCAATGGATTTTTTACACTGGTTTTGATAGTGAGACCTCTGTGATCTCTCAGCTACTAATTTCTCTGCCTCCACAAACAGCTCCTCATCTGGAAATTGGGATGCACAAGATATCTGTTTAGGATGAGTAATAGCTATTCATGGGTATAACATGGATTCCTTGTAGCCAGAGAGTTAGAAGCCATTGCTCATCACAAATCACATCAAGAGGTTGTCCAGGACAAAATCTGAGACATTTCACTGCAAGCAAGGATCGTACCCCTAGATGAGGAAGGCTTTTCTTAGTAAAGTATATGCAATGTGTTTGGCCTGGAAGGGTATATCTGAAGCAGTGCATCATCGCTCTTATGAGCTATGGGGCTTTTTATTTGTCCATTTTTTTCTTCCTTTTTTGGAAGTAACAAACCTTCTGAAGCCAATCTTACACTCCCAACGTTTATGGAATTTGTTTTTATGGAAACACTTAGTTTAACATTTGGCTTTAATGAGAAGACTACATTTAGATCTTATGATGTATTAGGGAGGTATCCATGGGGAAACTGTATGTAATATGGTATTTTACTAAATGAATGAGTTCCTTGTTAGCCACTAGCATCCTGTACTGAAAAAAAGTCTTGCAGGGGTTTTTTTGTTGTTGTTTTTTTGGGGGGGGAGGGCCGGGGGGAAGAGAGGATTCTTTGGTGATGTGTGTGTGGTACTTGCCCTGGACGTTAGAGGGGGGAGGTAGCTTGCTATCTGTCCTGGTCTGGGGGATCATACCACCAAGGAGGGCTACTGGTACACATCTTGATTGTAGGAATAGCTTGCTAAGTGTCCAGGAGAGTTTGAAAGGCTGCCTGCATTGCTCCTCCAGCCTAGCTAGCACCCAAGTAAGTAGGAGCAGTCTAGTACCACTCGGGTCTTTACTCAGGTCTTGCCCATTACACCACTATGTAGACATGACGAGGTTAGGATTTCTAACATGCACTAATATGGTGCACGTTAGTTGGTCCGTGTAGACCCTGCTGGTGCACACGAGAAGTGCCCTAGTGTGCTTTAACGTAGTGCTGTTAACACACACTAGGGAACTCTTCGTGAGCACTAACAGGGCGTCTGTGGACTAGTTAATGTGCAGCACATTAGTGCATATTAGAAATCCCATCCCTGGGGTGCCCATTTCCCCACTGTGCAGTCAAGCAGTCAGTCAGGATCATTTTGACACTTACACCTCTGTAACCCCATGATGGTGCAGCATGGTTGGGAATGGAATCCTCATCTCTTCTGGTCAGACTGCCTGAAGTACTCCTCAGGCTTTAATGTGGAGACAGTCATTGTGGGGAGGGGGGGAGAGCGAGAGACTCTTTCCTACCATCCAGCTTCTAAGCCATTTTTGGGCAGTGCAAGGGTTTAAATTCTGGCTGATGATCAGAAGGCACAATTCCATTCTGCTGCTGTGTGAAATCTGAGCCCTTTTCCCTGGCAGAGTGATGGTTGTGAGTGGAAGGCCAGAAAACCACAATTCCCTTTATATTGCAGCCTGAGGCAGGACTGCCCTGGAAGGACAGGCTCCTCTGCTGGCCCAGACATGCTGCAGGGTTGGGGAAGAGGTGGTGAGTATTATACAGAACACTCGAGAGCTTATGTGTAGCAGAAAAGCCCCAGCAAACACTGCCTGGGGAAGGCAAAGGAAGGGTTTAACTCCAGTTTGCATCCATTGTCCACTGACAATTGCATACATTGTTCACTGACAATATTAACTGCTGCGCTGCAAAGGTGATGCTTGCTTTACCTTTTTGGGACCCCTGAGGGGTTTGCCAGACTTACCTTTGAACATCATAAGAATCCCTCAATTCACAGGGGGAGGCAGGGGAGCAGTATAGGAGCCTTTTTTCTTTCCCTCAGCGAGAAGAGGCCCCACTTCAGTAGCCGGGGGTCAGGGAGGGACTTTGGCTCCTTTCAGGGGGGTCTCTCCCTCTGGCCCAGGTCTGTTGAGCAACCTACCTCCTGAGCTGGCTGGGTAGCGTCCTTCTCTTCCCCCAGATGCTCAGAAGCTCCTGCTCAGGCTTTTCTGCATTGGAGTCACAGCTCCTCGGGGCAGGGTGGGGACCCAAGCTGCTGGTCTGACTCTGAGCCCTGTATCTGGCAGCGCGGGGCTCAGCTGGTTGGGAACAGGCAGGGCACAATTTGCCCTCAGTAGAGCATCTAAGTGCTGCCTCACGCAGGGAACATTACTTAGTTTTAGCCAGGGACTGAGGGGGCAGAGGAGTCCTGCAGAGAAGCACGGGAACGACAGGTGCAGGTGGTTGAAGCCACCATGCTGCTATTTACCTGATCCGGGGAGGAGGGGGAAGACTGATGTCGCAGCCGCACAACAATGAATAAAAATAAAGTCAAAACCAAAATGGTGGGGGAAACTGAACCACCAACTTGTTCCACCCCCAGAGGCAAAAAATCTGGTAGACTGAACTAAGGGGGAAAAGTTAGTCCCGTAGCCTCCAGCAACAACACTGACCTGCCTCTAGATTTCATTAGTGATGAAGGAGGAGAAAAGCTGTGCAACAGAATGGTGCATAGAACTACCATGAAGATAAATGTATTTTCAATTTTATTTCATTTCCATTTGGGGCAGTGCAGCTGGTTCCCCAGAGGTATAAATGCCAACAAGGGCAGCATGAAGTATGGCTATATTGGAAAGAGAATAATAATAATTAAAAAAAAAAAAAAAGAGTGAGTAACTAACCCCCAACCTGCAGCAGCTCGCCAGTTCCTTGTCCATGTCTGCGCACACCATGCTCAAATGCTTCTTTGAGAGTGGAGCCTTTTAACTCAATCAGATCAAAAGTACTTCCAAATGGCAGCACAGCTAGCAGGTCCTCCATCGTAATATTACCTTGGATAGAACAACACTTTAGGTAAACAAATGTTCTTCATAATAAAGCACCTTACATATCTTGTTTAAGATCACTTAACAGTGTGCTACATAACCTATAAAGCCGTGTATCATTTGAAGCAATGTAATTTAATAGTACAGGAGTATAGACTCCATCTTTTGATCTGTATCTCAGTTTTCCAAACTGGCCAACTAGACATATCTAAGGATTTTCTACCTCTGCTTATGTTGTGATATGCATAACCCACCTATACTGCAGCTTCACTAGTGGAAATGGGAGCAAGGTGACAACCTTTATGTGGTGCTTCTGCTACATATTAATAATGAACACAATGAATATTGTCAAAAGGCTACCAGACGTCAGTTTGTCGATCTCCTGGTATGGATTAGTAATGCAAAAATCTGTCAAGAGTCCTTATCTGGGACAGAATCAGAGAACCATAGGACCAGCTTTACATGTGTACCTACTTAATGTAGGAGGTCTGTCCCATGCTATGTATGACTATCTTCCAAAAGTTCTGAAGGAGAAGGACACGGACACTGTTGAGGACCTCCAGAACTTCCCAAAGATATGCCTGAAATATCACAAGCCTTTTTGGGATCGGGCTAAAGCTCTTAAGCATTGTCATGCAATCCTGAGGCACACAGGAAAGAATTCTGGGACAATGCCAATGTCCCAAGCAATCACCTTACTGCCAATTCCACAAAAGTACTTCCAGGCTTCAACCTACCCTGGAAACAGCACAAAATGACTCTGGACACCAGTCGCAAATGACGGACCACACTGTAAATGAGTACTTGCTTCAATTGTTTGCCAGCAACATCTCAGAATTTACACTAAGCCACTTCCCAAGCGACCTGCTGGCTCACTACTCTGAATCTGGTTATTTGAATGTTGCTTATCACCTCTCTTACCATATGAAAGAAGATAAGTGGAAAATGGCTACCTGTCAATCTGGGGACAAGAAAAAACAGAAGTTCTTACAAAGTTTAGCCAGCTTATCCTGTTGCTTTCAATTGCTATAGTAGTCCTACAAAATGAGTTATCCAAAATTAAAACAAATTGTTCTTAGATTTTATAATATTAGACTGAATATGTGGCACCATAAGAGGATACAGAATTTACTTACTTATGTGGCAGAACATAACAGGTTTCTAACAGACATAGCCACCCTACATAAGTTTAGAACAGGAAGTGAAGAATACCATCTCCACTTCTTCTGAGCATAATGACAAGCCATAGTGGTAAAAACATCAGTGACCAAACCCTGCTAGTTCTGTCACCAGTGCCAGCATGGCTGCAGCTGCATTAGTGCTAAACTAACAGTGGGAGAAGTTGAGAATAGCCTCAGTGCAGATGCAGCCTAGGTGTCTAGGCCAGACTTACAAGAGGTAGTATGGCTGTAAGCTATTTCAGATTTTTATATGATCCAATTTTATCTGTTGGTGGAACTCTATTTTGATTATGTCTAGAATACTAAAATGGATAAGCTCTATTGAGAGAATATTATTCATTATTCTTAAAATTCCAGTATTCTATTGGTGCTTGCTCAATTAATTTGTTACTTCTGGGACTATACTGTGTACCTTCAAGCACTGAAATATAGATATTAGTTGTTTCTGATTGCGTTTCAGAATCAGTTATGTATACAATGTGCTTAACTTTTATGCATGTTAGTGGTTCCAGCGAAACTACTGACATCAACTAAAAATTATAAGCATTGGCAGGATCAGGGCCATAGTCCTGAATCCAGAAAAGCTGTTCTTTTGTAGTTGGTATAGTGCATGATAGCAAAATATGTAAAAGTACAGGCAACAGTATAAAAAGCAGCATTAAACAAGCTAACATACCATTATTGTTGTGTTCATCAATGGGTGACCGTATCCCACCGCCATTTATGATGCACATTGAAACATGATTCCATGTATTTTCATCTCGATGTTTGAGATTATTGTAAATCTGTAACATTAGCATAAAATATTTTAACCACTTTTTAATCTTTGCTTAACCTAGATGCAGGAATTTTACAAGTTACAAAATCGGAGTTTCTGGGAGCTTTTTCCAGGTTGGTGGGCCTGGATTTCTCTCTAGGAGTTAGGGAGAAAACCAATTAATCAATCATGCCATTTACAGCTATCTTTAAAGAACAAATTTTTAAAAATTCTGCAGCCATAGTTTTATTATTTATTATTTTTACGAACAGATAAAGTTTAAAAATAAGCCTCTCTCGGTCTTTTCTTCCTGGGATCTCTGGAATTTTTTGAAAACCAGAGTGTGACATTATTGGCGGTAGAAACCTAAACCGCACCCTCTAAAGCCAAAACTAAATGAGGGAAGGGATGATTTGTAGACAGTGTCATAAAGGAAAATTAAAGGGTGATGTGTTATTTCAGAAAACGTTGAAATACAGAGCAATAACTTACACATCTCTCAAAAATTAGGAAATGTGAGAGACCTTAAATATAGCTGTTCATAAAAACCTTGAAGGGGAATAATTAGAAAATTTAAACACATAAACCAGTCTAATGATGTGCCTTCAAGATTATTAAGGGACCTGATAGAGCAACTTACTGTATCACTAGCATTTAATATTTGAAACCTTCTTAAAAATCCTGGGAAGGTAGAGAACTAGAAGATTGGAGGAAAGCAAATGGAGTGCAGATTTTTCCAAAAAGTAAAGAGCAATCTATATACCTGTTGCTCAGAGGACCAAATTAGACCCTCACTTAATGAGATCCTCCTGCATTTATTTCTAGTAAAGTAAATGGAAAACACACTCAGCAAGAGAATCAAAAGACTGCTATAGAATAATGAGGCAATAATCAGCCTGGTTTAAGAATAAACACTACCAGACTAATCTAGTAACTTTGTCAGGTAAATTACAAAAATAGTGGTTGAAGGGAAGAGATAGCAGCGATCACTGTATTGGGATTTTAGTGGAGCATTTGATGGTGTTGAAAAAAATCTTACTCTAATTCAAATCTCCTTGGACATGAACAACAGCCATGGGAATTAAAAATTAATTGGTAGCCTTAGTTCTTCAGCAAATTTTCAGCATAAAAACTTGTTTATGAATGAGAAATTGTCTTTCTGTGAATATTGGGCACCATCCACTACACTAATAATCAAAGCAAATTTGATTAAAAATTCAAATGACTATTCCCAGAGAGTTTGTAGTATCCACACAACTCTGTGCAACAAGTGCCAGGGATAAATGAACAATTTCTGATCTGTTCTCTTTTTTGCTCTATTGAGAACAGCCCTGGCCCCACATAAGGAGTTTCATCCTGAAACTTGCATAGCAGTGAGTTCCTGAGAACTATTCATTGACTTTAATGAGTATTGTGGGAGTTGAGAGACTCTCTGGATCAAGTCCAAAAGGGAGAGCTAAACATATTCCAGACTTATCCAGGAACTGGTAGATCTTCTATATCAAACACTTATAAAAGGAGTAACTGCTGCCTCAGAATTCTATGAACTCTGCTAGGGATCTCACTATTACCAGTCTTTAACATGAAAGCAACACAAAACCCTAAGAATCATAGAACTCTCTAGAGAGTCCAGTAAAGTTGAATTGTCCCAAAGCCCTCAAATATTAATTCAGATTAAATTATAGTCTGTGGTTTCTTACCATGGCATCACAAATCAAATTTCCCAAGTTGCATTCTTGGAAACGACATGCCTGACTTGTACCATTTAGGTAAACTATAGTTTTTCCTATCACTTGGGAAGAAAAATTATTTAGCTGTATCTTCCACTTGTCAACTTCTTCTTTCAAGACTCTATCTAAAATAGAAGCATAGAATGAGGTTAAAATGGTTACTAACCTTTTGTAACTGTTGTTCTTCGAGATGTGTTGCTCATGACCATTCCATGCTAGGTGCGTGCGCACCGCGTGCACAGTTGCTGGAGACTTTTCCCCTCTGTGGCATCTTTTGGGCTGGCACTAGCACCCTCTGGAGTCATGCGCATATGCATTGGTAAAAGGGGCACCCCCAACCCCACCCTTTCAGTTCTTTCTTGCCGGCTAACTCCAACAGAAGGGCAGGAGGGTGGGTCATGGAATGGAAATGAGAAACATCTCGAAGAACAACAGTTACAAAAGGTTAGTAACCGTTTTTTCTTCAAGTGCTTGTTCATATCCATTACATGGTAGTTGACTCACAAGCAGTACCCCCGGAGGTGGGCTTGGAGTTCATGGACATGCTGACTGCAACACTGCTCTCCTGAAACCGGCACATGGCTTAGTGAGAAGTGAAGGTCTGAACAGACAACCAGGTTGCAGCTCTGCAAATGTCCTGGATGGGAACCTGTGCAAGGAATGCTGCCAACGAAGCCTGGGCTCTTGAGGAATGAGCAATGACTATGACTGGAGGTGGAACTTTTGCCTGCTCATAGCAAGTTCAGATACGGGTGGTTATCCAAGATGAGATTCTCTGGAATGACATGGGTACCCCTCTCCTTCTTTCCACGATTGCTACAAAGAGTTGGGTGGACTTGCAGAAGGACTTAGTTTTCTCAATGTAAAAGGCGAGGGCCCGCCTAATATCCAACGTATGAAGGCACCGTTCCTCCTTGGGTCTTGTAAGGTTTTGGGAAGAAAACGTAGAAAAATGTCCTAGTTCTGGAATCGTGACACCACTTTTGGTAGGAAGGGCAGATGGGGGCACAGCTGGACCTTGTCCTTGGAGAACACTGTTTAAGGGGGCACTGACCCACTACAAACCTGAGATCTGATGTCACAGCTTTGATCTCAGAGACCTTTCTGGCTGAGGTAATTGCCACCAAGAAGGTGATCTATTACGGGGAGAGAAGCAGTAGAGAGCATGATGCCAACGATTCAAAGGGTGGCCCTGTGAGCCTCGACAGGACCAGGTTTAGGTCCGCAGGGGGAAGAGACTCATGAACTTGAGGGTAGAGTGTTTCCAGCCCCATAAGAAATCAAGCCATCATCTTGTGGGAGAACACAGATCTGCCATTCACCACAGAGGGTGGAAAGTAGAGATGGCTGCCAGGTGAACCTTAATATACGAGAGAGACAGACACTGAGGCTTTAGGTGTAGCAGATAGTCTACAGTTGACTGCAGAGAAGATCAGGATGGAGAGAGGTTCAGCTCGGAGGCCCAACAAGTGAAACGTTTCCACTTGGCCAGGTAGGTAGTCCTGGGGGAGGGTTTCCTACTACCTATCAAGACCTGACAAGCCCTTAGCGAGCAGGCCTGCTCTTCAGGGTTCAGCCACGTAGCAACCATGCAGTCAGGTGCAGGGAGGCGAGGTTCAGCTGAAGCAACTGGCCATGGTCTTGTGAAATCAAGTCCACTGGGAGTGTGAGTGTGAGTGGACCTGCTACAGAGAGGTCCAGAAGTGTGGCAAACCAATGCTGGTGTGGCCATGCTAGTGCTATGAGGATAACCTTTGCCTTGTCCTGTGATTTTCAGGAGGACCTGTGAACCCATGGAATCAGTGGGACGGCAGACAGTAGGTGGTCTGCCCGAGAGCTGGAAAGCATCGGAAAGGTAGCCCATATAGTGAGCAGAACTGATGGCATTTCCTGTTCTGCCTTGTGGCGAACAGGTCCTCCAGGGGATGCCCCCTCCTCTGGAAGATGACACTGACAACCTCCAGGTGAAGAGCCACTCATGGTGAGAAGAAGAAGAAGAAAAGGATCTGCTGAGGTGATCTGCCAGGGCGTTTTGGGCTCCCAGGAGATGTGATGCCTCAAGGTGAATGACGTGTTTCATGCAAAAGTCCCATAGCTAGAGAGTCTCCTGGCACAGTGCTGAAGGCACAGGGTCCTCCCTGGTTGTTGATGGAAAACACTGATGCAGTGTTGTCCATCAGAACCTGCACCACTCTGCCTGAGATCTGGGGAAGCCAAGCATACCTAACATTTATATGCAAGGCAAGTTTCTCCTGGGACCAGAAGCCTTGAGTCCTGAAACTGCCAAGATGGGCTCCTCACCCTGATGTATCTCAGACTAGGGTAATGGATGATTGAGGAGCAGCAAAGGATATCCCTACCATTACTGATCCTGGGTCTCTCCACCAGGTCAACAAAGCGATGACTGGAGGTGGAATCGTGAGTATTGAGTCTAGGTGATGTCTTCTCAGGGAGTAGACTGATGCCAGCCACATCTGGATGGGGTCTGAGGCATATCCTTGGGTACTGTACCACATCGGTACATGCCGCCATGCGTCCCAATAGTTTGAGGCAGACACGAGCAGTTGTTACTGGGTGGGTCGTGACGGAGATCAGGTCTGATATAGCTCAGAATCTGGCTCTGATAGGTGTCAAATCGAGCACTGCCATGATGAATTCTATTCTCTGAACCAGGACCAGAGTTGACTTCAACTTGTTATCAACAGACCCAGGGCCTGGAAGGTGGCGTATACTGTACTGATGCTGTGTTGGACCTGAGCCTGTGAGCAACTCTCGATCAGCCAATTGTCAATTGGCTTGCATGCCTCAACATCTAAGAAAGGCTGCTGCCACTGCCATACACTTCGTGAAGACTCGTGGGGCTGCCAACAGGCCAAAGGGAAGCACAGTGTATTGGTAGTGGCACTGACCCACTACAAACCTGAGAAATCTCCTGTGACCATGGAAAATTAGATGTGGAAATAATTGTCCTTTAAATCGAGGGCAGCATACCAGTCTCCTGGATCCAGGGAGGGAATGATGGAGGCTGGGGAGACCACGCGTAACCTCAGTTTCTGAGATATTTGTTGAGGCGAGACAGGTCCAGGATGGGCCATAGACCCTGTTGGCCTTTGGGATTAGGAAGTATCGGGAGTAAAACCCCTTCCCTTTTCAAGTATTGAGGAACCTCCTCTATGGCCCCTACACATAGAAAGGCTTGCACCTCCTGGACAAGAAGCTGCTCCTGAGAAGGGTCCCTGAAGAGGGGTGGGGGGAGGGGTGGAAGAAAACTGGAGTGTGAAACCGACTGTTATAGTGCTGAGCACCCAATGGTCCAATGCTATATATGACCATGCTAGGCTGAAGGGTGAAAGGCAGCCAAAAACAAAATGGGGGATGGATCTGGTGTCTAGATTGGTTTACCATCCTCGGGCATACTTTGAAAAGGCCTGCCTGGCCCTGCTGGGATAACTATGCGAGCCCAACAGAGGCAGAGGTAGAAGGTAGGGGTTGGCGTAGCTTATAACCCTTCCCTTTTCTTTTTAGGGCTCCTGGAGGTGCCATGAATCTGGGAGGCTGCTGGGGCCTAAAATGCTTCCTGGAGGCAGGAAGCATGTAAAGGCCCAAGGGGCAAAGGGTGGCCCTTGAGTCCTTGAGGCCATGAAGCTTGGAATCCATCTGTTCGGAGAACAGTGAGGTCCTGGACGGACTGCTCCACTTCGTGAGGGAAGCCTGATGAATGAAGCTATGACTCGGTGGTGACCACTGACGCGATAGTCCTGGCTGCTGAGTCAGCCACATCATGAGCCTCCTGGAGGGAGATCCTGGCCACTACCTTGCCCTTCTCTAGGATGGCTGTGAACTCCTGCCTCAACTCCTGTGGCAGACAATTCTTAAAATTTGGACAATGAGTCCCACCGGTTGAAATTATACCTCTACAGCAGAGCCAGCTGGTTGGAGATACGCAACTGGAAGCTGCCCATGAATTAAACCTTACATCCCAACAGGTCTCTTGCCCTCTTTATGTCTGCGGATAGCACTTAACTTATTTGCCGCCAACGCTACCAGGGACCCCAGGGGAGGGGGAGTTGAGTAAAGGTACTCAAACTCACTGGCTTGGACATAGTATTTCTTCTCTGCCCTTTTTGAGGTGGGGAGCAGAGAAGGAGTCTGCCATAGTGCCCTGATGGGTCACATCACCACCTCGTTAATGGGCAGGGCCACTCTGGAGGGAGTCGCTGCAGCCAAGATGTCAATTAGGCTGTGTGAAGACTCCGTGAGCTCCTTGACTTCTAGTCCCAAGTTTGTGGCGACCCCTTTCAGGAGCTCTTGGTGAGCCCTGAAGTCATCTGGCAGGAGCGGATAACTAGGGCCTGCAACTGGCCCACCCAGGGATGATGAGGAAGAGGTTTGTACTGGAGGAGGGGCTTCCTCCTCTTCCTCCACCACATCCACTGGGGCCATTTCTTGGACATAGGCACCAGGGTAGTACCGGAGTCAGGGTATAGGGCCGGACAGGACAAAATGGTAGCTCGCCTCTCAGACACCACCAAGTCTGAGTGGTGGGAAGAGGGGCCCGGTACCAGGGGAACCCCCATGGATTCCAATACTGCCACCCCAGTGGTCTGGTGGCCATGCACTAAGTAGGGGGCTAGTACCAAAGTCCGGTGTGTAGCTTGAGTACCAATATGTCTTAGGTGGAGCGAAGGATTCCTCTTCGAACTCTGAAGAGGGTTCTTCCCTTGGAGTCCACAGTGGCGCAGTACTCGCTTCTTCTGCCAGGTGGTGCCGGAGAGCTGGCAACCATTGTATTGGGACCATGGAAGGTTGGCCCCTTGACAGCACCGCAGTGATCAGTGCCGTGGTGGAGCTCATTGCCCCTTGCGCCCTTCCTCCCCAGTCACCTTGGCTAGCAGGGGGCCTGGAGGAGTCAGCGGGATTGGTAGGGACATCAGGTCCTTTGCCGCCTGGAAAGCCTCTGGGGTCGAAGGCGTCCTGGGAGCAGCTGTGGGACAACACGCCTGTGGAGTTGGAGGCAGGTCCCAGACCAGACTTGGTGCTCTAGGCAGCAGTCGCCAGAGCCATCAGTGGCTCTGGGTAGGACGATTGGCCCCGCGTAGGTCTCACTATGCTAGTCACTCCCTACTTGTCCCCCTTGGGCACCGGAGAGCACCCTCTCTTGGTGCACTGTTTCTTATGCTTCTTCCTCGGCACCGAGGATGGAGTACAGTACTGGGAAGAGCATGGTGCTGGCGGAGCGCTTCGCATGGAAGCTGAAGTGCTTGGCGCCAATTTGGAGCGGCTCGGCTGCAAGAGTGGTCTGAGGGCTGCCTCCATGGATAAGGCTTTTAGACGAATATCCCATCCTTGTATGTGCACGGTTTGAAGCCCCTGTAGATCTGACACTTCTCTTTAACATGAGATTCCCTGAGGCACTTTAGACAGCTAGAGTGTGGGTCACTCACTGGCACTGGCTTGCCACAAGAGGCACACAGCTTGAAGCCTGGGGACTGGGACATGTCCAGCCCCTGTGGCGGAAGTCCCTCGATGACAGGCACAACTATTAATGCTATTACATAAACTAACACTAAGAACTATATACACTAAGTATAATAACTATGCAATATACGACAGAAAAGTCCAAACCACTGGGAAAGAAGCCTTGCAAGACCAAGGAGGATTATCCAGGCAAGCGTCATGGACGGCAAGAAGGAACTGAGAGGGCACGGGGCCAGGGGGGCCCCTTATACTGGTGCATGTGCATGCGACTCCAGAGAGCACTCGAGCCGGCCCAATGGCTACCACTCAGGGAAAAATCTCTGGCAACTGTGCACATGGCATGCACACACCTAGCCTGGAATAGACATAAGCAACACATCTCGAAGAAGAAGTCTTCCATTAATTAGACCCCTACGTTCATACAAATTTTATGGAAAATTTGCTCCTTAGTGATTCTAGAATATATTAACCTTTCCTTGCATGAGACCTCACTGAACAATATCAAAATTTACTTTACATGAAATCCAATTATGAGTGAAATTACAGAGGATCCTACTTGTTACAAGATTACAATATTCATTATAATCATAAAACCCAGAAATAGGGGGAAAATACAATTAGGTGAGTGAATTGATCCCCTGCCACTGCAGGATTATTCCCTGCAGTACATTTGCAATTTCTTTTGCCCAGGCTTCTTTTAAACTGCCAATCAATGGGACTTCTACCATGTCCTTTGGGAGACTGGTAGACTCATTGCAAAGTCCAGCAGAGACTTTTTTTTTTTTTTTAAACATTCAAACTAAATTTTCTCTTACTTATCTCACTTACTCCTAGTTATAGCATCACTACCGTACAAATTTGTTTAAAACACTATTTGCATATTTCAAAACTGAACAATCTTACCAATAATCACCCAAATAACCATATAGGATTACTCAACTAGGAATTAATTTTATATGCATATATATCCTATTACTAGCAAATTGATGATTTATTTTCAGAAACCAAACATAACTTGGATACAGCCATCATACAATTTCTCTGATGATTTTGTATTGTGTATATCATTTGGCACGTTACAAGGTTAATTTGCAAGCAACATATAAGCATTAAGAATACTGTACTTCACCATGTATATATCTAATAGTCTGAATTATAACATTCACAGACATTGGAGAATTACTATAATGTTCAAGACCTGGTTTAATTAAGCTCATTAAACTTGTGAAAACCATGTGACCGGCAAAGCTGAAACACCTAGTCAATTTTGAAGTGACCTATTCTTCTATTTATATGCTGGTAGTGCCTAAGAGCTCCAACCCACGATCAGGGCCCCACGGTGGGAGGCAACGAACAGACAAGCAACAAAAAATACACCCCGAGAGAACTCTTAATCTGTACATCAGACAGGAAGCAACCACTAAATGAAACAAACAGGGTGGCTGGGTTGGAAGTATATGAGATATATATTTACAAAACAAACCGTGGAAGGATTTTCGTCCTTCACAGTTTTATAATGTTTGATGAAAAACATGTGTTTTTTGTATATTACATTTGCACATTGATGTGCTTTGCCTGAATGTATTTAAAAGGTCATGAGCAACCCACATAAAACTGCTTGGTTGTTTTTACAATTAGAGGGAACTGAAATGCTTAAGAAAAGTGCTGGCTTGACAACCTCAGATCAAAGCCCTTTCTTTGTCCACAAACCAAGTGCAGAGATACCAAGAGCCCAGAGTTCCCCATCCTGCTCCAAACTCTGTTCTGAAGGAATCATCTTTATGGGATAAGATGTTAGTTTACTCTTCATGCCCATTTAAGCAATATTAAAATTAAATGTCTATAGAGTAGCCTAAAAATGCTAAATGTCATGGAAATATATCACCTGAATGTCGTGAGGAAGCGATTAGTGATTTTACATAACCCAAAAAAACCTAAACACCTGAAATGTGATAAACTGGAAACTTGTTTGATTGCTGAGAGGAGTCAGTGAAGAAAGCAGGTTATAGCCTTATAATGTAGCCACAACTTGATGCCAAAGACAACCAAATTAAGAGGAATGCTAAATTCTCCTGTAGCATTGTACTTTACTTTAAAAAAAAGCAATAAAGCTAAAAGTTTAGCTGGTTGATCTATAGAAACTCAAATCTCTGTTTCACATACCTTCAGGAATACTGCTATTTAGCAGAATAGGGTTTCCAGATGTTCTAATTACATTTCCTTGATCATCAAACGTTACATTTAAATAACCAAGATATTTCCCAAAAGCATAGGCTTGTACCACTGGCACCTGCCTCCCATCATCTGACTTCACCAGGAATGGATAGTTGCCAGCTGGCATTTCACTGGAAGGTGGGGGGCCTGAAACAAAATAACCACACAAGTATTTTATCTTCAGAAAATTATCAGTAAGGACTTTCAAATAGGCTTTTCTTCCTTAAAAGAATATATGGAATATTTAATATCTATTAAATAATAATTTGGAAATAAAATAAGGTTCTTCAGGACTTGAGTGCAAGGGAGTATTTTCTCCTTGTAGAAGTAAAAAAGTTGAGTTGATTTTAACCTCTTACTTCGCTGCAAGATCTCTAACTCATAGCAATTAACTGAGAATTAAAACAAAAACAAAAAACCAATGATTTTTCCATCATATATAAATTATTGGATTTTTGCCTTCTGCTTTATTGATAACTTGGCTTCTCAGGTGACATTTTTCTGGAACCACGAAACACAAAAAGCATAAAACTAAGGCGGTGACTATGTAACGAATTACTATGTTATCACATTATTCCTTGATGAGATGGACTTCGTACTTTCGTACCATAAGATATTCATCCAAAAAGGAGAAGAGGCTTATCAAAGCTCCATGCACACTTCTCAGTTGAAGGCTTAGATTCTGTTTAATTAAAAATAGGTTTACAGAGGATAATGTAAGAAACAGTAACACCTTCTTATTTTTTTAAACTCCTTTTAAATTAAACTTTTGTCTGAAGGTTCTACCGAAAATCACCCCACTACAAAAAGCATTCTAGTCCCAGATTCCAGTTGCCACGTAATTTGTGAATACACGGGAAGAACTGCAATTGTATTTTGGGTCCCCGAGTCAGCTATCTTCTGCCAACTATAAGTACTTTTGTGAATGTTGGCAAGGCAAACGGAGCTCCTGGAACAGGTCCCAGATGTAATTGTAATGCTGCTAGAAGACTCAGCTGCTTGTTTGTAGCTAGTCTGCCAGAGTATGTATTTCCAAAAATCAAAGAAGAATCTTTGACTCTGCCAAAGTACATTTTTTTTTGTCTGAACAGATGAATGCATCTGTGTGCGTTCGGTGTAGACAGCTCTCAGAGGTCATTTTAGGATATCCGCATCTTCCACGTTTACAGAAAAAGTTAGATCTTTCCGAATTAGAACCCATCTAGATATCCTGGAAGCCCACAAGCATTTATTTCATATCCAAGTCAGGGGAATTTCTTGCCTTCACGTGTGAACAAAACCAATGAAGTAGATGGTGAAAGTAGTTTTTGTGTTTAAAGTTATTCATGTTGTGCTTACAAGGGTTCCTATGTCTTAATTCAGAACTGTAGGGTGTGATTCTTCCTAAACAACTAGAATAATAAAAGGAGGCAGAGGCTGATGGAGAAGATAAACTGCAGGGAAAGAGAGAGTGAAATGGAACAGCAGTGTGGTGAAACAAGCAGGGATGGAAGAGAAGGAAAGGGACAGTGTGTTACTATCTTTCTACACACACAGTTAAGTAGGTCCCAAGTTACACAGTGATGGCTGGGCACGTGGGCCATTTTTTTACTGTAACTCATAGAACATTTCCTCTTTAAAAAAAAAAAAAAAAAAAAAAAACCATGCCTGTTCTGTCTACATTAAATTTGGCAGAGACCTGCAGCTAATTTTGATTGCTTTAAAACTAGCCACTGTCACTTTTATTCATATGCTATTTTTATTCATAATAAATGTGGGTTGTGCTTATTTTCAATAGACAGAGAGAGAGTAACACTGAGATGAGGGGAAATTGCCAAAAGAGTCCCTAGAAAACTGGGACAGGAAATCAGAATCCGAAGGAACAGGGAGAGAGAGGGAAAGGGGGCAAGAAGGAAGAGCAATGTCAAGTCACACTCTATGTGACAATTTTGTGGAAACTTTATAGGTTGCTGACAGGAGTTCAACATTCTTGTTGAAAAAATGCAAGCCAAAGGACAACCACTTCCTTAGCCCTGGTCTACACTACAGAGTTATGTCAACGTAAGACAGCTTACATTGACAGTACTCAGTGTCTATGCTAAAATGCAGCTCTCATTAATGACAGGTTTCAGAGTAGCAGCCGTGTTAGTCTGTATTCGCAAAAAGAACAGGAGTACTTGTGGCACCTTAGAGACTAACAAAAATTTATTTATTTATTGGTGACACAAGTACTCCTGTTCTTTTTGCTCTCATTAATGAAACTCGCTCACTACACCAACTTAACTCCACCTCCACGAGTGGCGTAATGCTTAAGTCAATGTAGTTAGGTCGACGAAGTGTCAGTGTAGATATTACGTTGCTTATGTTGACTGTTTCTGCCTCTGAGAAGCTTTCCCACAATGCCCCACACTGCCAGTTAAGTTGGTACAAGTGCTCCTAGTAAGGACCCACACCAGACACAAGAAGCACAGTGTGGACATGCAAAAGCAGTTTAATTACTGGTGGCTGTAAGTCAACGTAACTTAGGTCGACTTAATTTTGTAGTGTGGACTTGCCTTTAGAAAAAGATTTAGTAAATAAAGGTATGTCTACACTTACCTCCGGAGCGATAGATCCAGTGTGTGTGTGGGGGGGGGGGTCGATTTATCGTGTCTAGTGAAGACGCGATAAATCGACAGCCGAGCACTCTCCCGTTGACTCCGGTACTCCACTGGAGCGAGAAGTGTAGGCGGAGTCAACGAGGGAGCGTCAGCAGTTGACCTACCGCAGTGAAGACACCACGGTAAGTAGTTCTAAGTACATCGACTTCAACTATGCTATTTTTATAGCTGAAGTTGCGTAACTTAGACCAACTTAGCTCGCCCCGCCCAGTGTAGACCAGGCCTAAGAGAGCAGACACAATGTTCAGAGGAAAGTCTAGTTAATAAAATTAGAGAAACACAGCAATACACAGGCCTGATTCCAGAGAGAGCTGGTCAGAGGACTAATAATATCCCAACTCATTAAGTGTTCACCTAGTGAGGTCAGAGTAGAGTAGGTCTCCACTAAGGCCTGGTCTTGCACTTCCTACATGCATTTAACTCTCAATGAAATCAAGAGGAGGGGGGAGGACATGTTCTGACATGTGGACCACTGTAAGGATTAGGTTCAGATTCCATAGCTAACTAAAGTCAAAGGTCCCAGTGATTCCTTCAAGTCCCCAACTCCTACTATCTTTCCTATGGAAATCCATCAAAAAACTACTGAGCATGCTCACTATCAGCATGAGCACAAATACATTTACCCCGTCATTCAAAACGTAGACAGATTCTGCTCTGCTGCTGAACTTTTTTATTTTTAAAGAACTGTAAGGAAATAAAGTAGCTTAAACAGGGTAAAGAGTTGTAGAGAAATGAAACAGACAGCTGGAAAAAGTAGCTACAAAAGCCATCATTCCACACCAGTCTGCTAAGTGGCCAGCTCTAAAGAAATATTGGGGGAGGGAGGGGCAAGAAGAAGAAGAAAGGGAGTAAAAGGAACATTTTACATTTTTATCTGTGAAATGCAAGACATTTAGCATAGAAAGCTGCTTGTGATTTCACAGATAAAATCCATCTTTCTTCACTTATTTCTGTGGAAATTGTCACCCTCTTAGGTGCTGTATTTGTGACTAAGCTTGGATATTAACCTTATACAATTAATATATCTCCTTATTGCACAAATCTCACCTTGTAAAAAATCACCTTAATATAAATACACCTCTATCTGAATCGGCTTAATGTTCCAGACATTTTCAAATGGTGTTTTGGGAAACAGAAGGAGAGGCAACAACATTACAATGGCCCATATCCCCTTGGATGAGTGTTTTGGAAGCAAAGTAATCACGTTGCATCCTAGCAAGAAGGAGAGAGAAAGATACCACGTCATGTTAAGCTGCTGTTTGAACGTAAGTGAGGCTCAGGGTGAAATTTGTTCCACATGTGTGGCTCAGGGAACCAACAACATGCTAGTTTTCCCCCCTTTGCACTAAGAATACATTACTGCACGTAATGCTCCTGGAGGGAGTCTGTTCTAGTGGGATGGAGTAGCTTCATACTGGCACACACATCTATTAGAACTTGTTTGGTTTTGGATAGGTGCTATTTGCTGTTCTGTTTAGAATTAGTACAAATTGACTGTGTCTTCTCATGATGGGAAATATCTCATAGTTAACTGCTATTCCTTAATGTCTGGTGATTGAAACTATTCAGCTTACAATTAACCCAAAAGAAGATTCAACAAAGGTAAGGAACACTAAAAGGGAAGCAGGGGAGTGGAAGGGGACTAGCAGTAAGATCACGCAGTTACATTAGCTATACACAAAGCCTGATGGTTTTGAATTATTGGGAATTTTTTCCCCACCTATGAATTATTAAAAGAGTAACAGCAACTATTTTAGACTCTCCCATAACCTAGCCAATATTGCAAGACAGAAGTGGACAAGCTAGAGGGATATGAAGAAAGAGTATAGTGGTCTTACAGATTAATTCAGGGGCAGTGGGGTTAGCCAGAGTGGGGAGATTATACAAGAGACAAGTTCAGGTGAGTAAGAAGGGGCAGAGTGGTGAGGGGTTTTAACAGATGAGGTCAAGAAGCTTGACTTTGAGCTGAAAAACAGTAGCCAGTCGAGGGACTCAAAGAGGAGTTCATAGACTTGCTATGACATTGTGTTAATAATAAAAGGAAGTCATTGTATATGTAACATACCTCCACTGCCAAAGTGCTTTGCAGACATTAATTAATCCTCAAAATACCCGTGCCTTATACTAAAAGCTCCTGAGTGCCTCCTGTGCATCCTCACATCCTGTTGTCTTCAAATAGGAGTTAAAGGCAATTAGCACCCTATAGAATTAGGCCCTCCTCCAATGTGGAGGTGTTTGGGAGGGGGGAAATCACTAGCTCCCCCTCACCTGTGTTTTTCCTGTATTTTTGAAATAATCAAAATTCAAAACATTCTGACCAGCTCTATAGTTGGCTGAAAGATTAAAAAAGAACTTCAAATATTTTGTCAATTTTTTCCTCTAGGATTTTTCATTGACATTTCTTTTTTGTTTGAAATTAGAAAAAAAAAATGTGTCTAGTTTAGGGAGTGAAGCAGAAGTACTCAGAGTGGGCAACAGAGTCTGACTTGCCCAAAGTTACACACAGACAGAGGTTTCAGCGATGGGATAAGAACTCACGAAGTTCTGGCTCCTAGCATTGTGCTCAGACAACAATGAAACAACAGAGAAGCTTCATACAGTACTCTGAAGTGACACAGGTTTGCTGAGTGGTACTGACAGCTGATCTATACTGCCCAAGTCTTTTCACACACACCAAGTAGTACTGCAGTGTATAGCCAAACATCTATGATCCTTATCTCTGCCATCTGGCTTGCTCCTAACCCATGTAACCTGCTGATGAGGATCCTTTCTCCAGAATAGGTGCACAGAGTTTTTACATACAACATCCTTCAAAATGCAGGGATAGGTATATTACCTACAGTTTTGCACTATTTGTTTGACGGGGATCCATAGTAGATTACAGATAACTACATACTTTTCGATGTATAAAAATATCATTCCTTTAAAAGTCTGATATCACATAGACCTGCAAGACTAGAAAAGGAAATTTAGATTATTGCAAAGGGCGATTTCTCCATTTCCAATGGAACTATGCACTTGTTTCTAGCCCTGAAAGGTCCTATAATGTTATGATTTTAAAACTAACATTGTCATCTAAAAAGGTTACTTAAAATAAATTTTAGGTGGATTTTTTTTTTTAAACTGCTTCTGAGGCTCTCTACATTTGGCCTCATGGTAACTTAGTCTCCTATTTTAGCAAGCAGACAAATGAAGGGGAAAAAAATCCTAGCAGCATTTAAAAAAAATATATCCCTAAAGCATATACAGAATGTGACCATGAGAGATGAGGGTTCTGGTACTCATTTGGGATGATCTTGCATAACTCATTTGTGGAGTCACCATTCACTAACTATGCCCATCCCAAACTCACACGGTTAAGCCTTTGCGGCATACCACAGCACCAGGCATTTTCTCACACACTGTTTGCACGCATGTATAATTTCTATAGACTATTTGGAACTTTGTAAAGAAGAGCTACAATCTGGGACAACGTTCAAGATGGAATTTTTTTTAGGCATAGGAAGACAGTCTGTGCACTTTTAATTTTCTATCACAGTGTGAAACATTCATGCTAGCACGACGTTTGGCAGTAGCTGGGTAGGCAACAACATAAAAAATTTCTACTTTTCTGTCACTTTGGGTATATATTCAGGATCAGTCCCTACACAGATCCATGTCTCAAACCACTTCTAAGTGTGTTTTTCTGAAATGTTTAAGATTTTATTTTCTTCCTCTTAAAACTCAATATGAAAATATCAGTGGGATTCTTTTTTAAAAATAAATGTTTGCCCTCATGGACTAAATAATACCATCACTAGGCCACCAAATATTACGAAGTACATATGTTTTACCATGTTTTAAAAACCTATATATACAGAAATAGGTTCTACAGGGTAACAATCACCTACAGGATATTTGGAAAAATAATCAAGGAATATACCTTGTTTTATATTGATTAATTTATTTCACTGATTCCTTTAATGCGTGTATCAGACAAGGTAAATTAAAATATTTTATTTATTTACTCCCTTATTCAGTAAACTTGTAAAACATGTTAGAATCTCAGAAATGTAGGGCTAAAAGGGACCTTGAGAGGTCATCTAGTGCCGCCCCCCCATGAGGTAGGACCAAGTATACCTAGACCAGACATTCTCAACCCGTGGCCCAGTTAGCACACAGCTGCAGCCCAAGTATTATCTGCAGGACTAAGTATTATCTAGTACTTTGCATTTGTCTTCACTGAATTTCATCTTGTTGATTTCAGACCAATTCTCCAATTTGTCAAGGTCGTTTTGAATTCTAATCCTAACCTCCCAAATGCTTGCAACTCCTCCCAGCTCATTGTCATCTCAAATTTTATAAGCATACTTTCCAGTCCACTATCCAAGTCATTACTGAAAATGTTAAAAGTACCAGACCCAAAACTGACCACTGCAGGACTCCACTAGATATGTCCACACAGTGAGCCATTGATAACTACTCTGAGTACAATCTTTTTACCAGTTATACACCCACTTTATAGTAATTTCACATAACTAGGGAAATGTAGTCTCTCTAATGAGAATCTCATGTGGGACTACTATTAAACAAGCTGCGCAATAATTTAGCAGCATTACTATTTGCATTGGAGTGGGTCTGTGTTGCACAGGTCATCCTGAATATGTTCAAAGAGTTAGGACACTTCTTACTCACAGAGGGTGTAAAAACTGGGAATGGACTCATGTCATAGTCTCAGTCTCATATGTCTTGCTTACAGTAAGGATTGCAAAAGAACTACATCTCATGTGGGTTAGTCTCAATGTGATATGTGCTACATAAAGTTGATTGGTTTTAAATATACAGGGTGCCAGATCCTCAGTTGCTCTCAATCAAGGTAGCTCCACTGAAATTGCCGATATTCACCAGTTGAGGAACTGGCCACAGTACTTAGTTACAAGTAAATTACATTTTTACAAAGTCATCTTAGTTCAATGAGAATTCTCTTTCAATTAATGATCAGTTTTGGTTAAAAGCAACATTTTACTGAGAGATGTAATACCTGTATAAAGAAACGTGTTCGTATGTCCTCCAATTACAACATCCACTCCTCTCACTTTTTGAGCAATCTTTTGATCCACAGTGAAACCAGAGTGTCCTAGTGCAATAATTTTGTTAACTCCCAGTGTGATAAGTTTATCCACATGTGGCTGCAATGCTTCAATTTCATCTTCAAAATATATCTCCTTGCCTTAAAAAAAAAAAAAAAAAAAAAAGGAGAGAGAGAGAGAGAGAGAAAGGAGATTATTAATATTTATGAGGTGTCTAAAAATACTTGTGTTTTCACAAGATCAGATTATTGAAACAGCCGATGGACTATGGCCAGAGTCCCACAAACTGTGGGGAGCTCTGGCCTCTCTCATTATTTAAATGCCCATTTCTGCCATCAAACACGGGATTCTAGGTTGTGAGGTGTAAATGATCTCTGAATTTTAGTTGCCCCAGGGTCCCACATTCCTTTACAGAATGAAGCAAATGGGAGTCTTTTAATTAGCTTTATTGGGAGTTGGTTCAGACTTTTAATCTGGCCCAGTGTTTTCAAGTACTGTATAAGCAACCTGAACATTTGCGCTCAGTCTACCAACATTTATGAATAGTATATAACTATATATATACACATAAAACAAAGCTGTAATGCCAAGAAAAGATGCCGGTGATACCAGCCAACAGAGCAAAGCTCCAATGGTTTTTGACTGCCATTAGAACTGAGAAACAGAAAGTTACATTCAGGTTTGTCTCATATGCATCATTTGGGTGTAAATATAACATTTTTTTGCCATATTACTTCCTACTGATTTTTCCTTAGAATCTTTCTTCTTCTCCCATGTTAATTCTTCTCCCACAAAGTCTCCCCTCATCCTGGCTTATTTTGTTTGTCTCCTTTCTATTTCCACAGCAGTTCCCTCAGAGTCCTCCTGCACTAAATCTGCAGGCTCAGAGCCAAATCCTACTTGCCTTCCATATGCAAATTATCTCATTGAATGAGATGAATCATACGATTTCTGACTGTCAGTGGTACACAGCAATAGCAAAGCCTGAAGTGGAATTACTTCCCTGAAGGGAGAACCCAAAGATAGAGATTAAAAAGGGGTAATGTTTACCCAGCTCACAGCGTTGAGAAATCTTATGGTTTCTCTGAAATGTTTCTATTTTATCATTTCAGAAAAATTTCATTTATAATACAAACATGTACTCTCTCTCTACTGTATTTGCTGTGTCTCGGTCACACTCTTGATTTCTACAAAAAGGATAAAAAAGCAGCTATCCCAGGTGCTAGGTTCCCTTGACAAAGTTTTAAAATACAGTTCTTATAAATTACTGATCAACAAATTCTCCTTAAACTCTCCGGCCAAAAATGACTAACTAGAAAATAAACCACTCAAATTCCACCTCCCATCCCTCACAATTCTCCTCCATTCCCACGCATCTTGGGAGAATATAGGAGCCTTTCAGCATACCCTAGAGATCAACAGATCTGGGCTATTTCATAGCAAAGGGGAGAGTAAGAACTAGTCCCAAGTCCAATGCTAAATGTTGCAAGAAATAAAGAGTTACTGCAACAGAGGAACATTGACAAAGCAATATTATGGGGTTACGTAAATTGTCAAACTGTAACAGTTCTGTTGTTGCCTAAGTGTAACCCAGGATTCAAAACAAAACACACAACTTATTGCTTAGTGCTTGGTCACCCCTTCTCAAAAGTTTAAATTTAGTTTAAAAAAAAAAAAATCTAAGTTTTTTATATAACAGTTATTCATCTTTTTCTTTGTGGATCAGCAATTCTATTATTTCTTTTTCAGTGTGTTAAACTAACAGGAAATAAGTTTTCTAATTTCTTTAAACTTTAGAAAGAAACAGAAAAGGCAACTAAACAGCACTATTTTTTAACAAGACGACAAGATAATGGGCTGGGTGCCAAAAGTATTAGGCACGTGTCCAAGGATAAAATAATTAGCTGCTACCATAAGGATATGATTAAAAGAGCAGGATCACAATTCCAATAACATGGTTGTGGTATTGTTCTGGAAAACAGCTCAGAGCGATATTTGTTGACAAGTGTTCTCTATTGAATATTTCTACTATTCTACAGACAGGAGAAGTTATCAAGATACTGAAGTCAAAAGTTACGTGCAAAAATGTGATTTATTTTGCAGCACAAAATGCGTGCTAAGCACCTCACAGTACAAATAAAAAGACATGGTTCCTATTCTACAGATCTTACAATATAATGAATGAATAAATGCTGTCTTCCTTATTTACCAATACTTGGCAATTGTTGTAGGAAAAAACCTAGTAGGGTGACTCAAATGTGGCAGGTGGATTTAGTAGTGCATAGGACATCTTTTAAAAAAAGCTACCAATTAATAGCTTCATCGTTTGCGCTATGGATTATTAAAGTAGACTTCACTCTCTGTTTCCAGATATTTATTAGCAATCCTTACTGAGGGAGAGAGAGAGAGAGCGACAGCGAGCGCTATGGGAACATTGGGATTAAGGTCCCACTGTTTCAAAAGAGTTATGATTATAATATGGTGATAGTTGTGAACAGACTGTGAAGGTGACAATAGTAGCAGTAGCGATGAAAGACATCTAGTGATAATACAAAACAAATTTATATAAACTTGCAGAGAAAAATGGCAGTGCAAAATCCACACTTTATTCTAAACAGTAGTCTCTGAGGATCTGGAAAGTCCTGTAAGAGCACAAGATTTCAGGGTAACTAAGGTGAATCTGAGAATAAACTCAACTGAACTACCTGAAATAAAGTGTGCCTATTAGACATGTCATCTTCCTGGAATCCAATCTCACAGTGACTTACTTTTTAGATTAAGGAACTAGGTTAATGGTTAACTCACCAACCCATAATTTCAGCCAGGAGTTTATCAGCACCGCAGATTGCTAAGTCATTTGTGACATAAATCACAGTATGCAGAAACTGAATCACCTTTTGAAAGCTACTGAAGGCTTCATACACTAAAGAGGTGTACAAGTAAAAAAGGAGAGAGTTACAAAAATTGTGTTTGCTACATATGGTGGCCCCTAGAAAACTCCCTATTAATGCCAACTGCTTTTCGATTCTCAGCTATACCACAGTATGTACTTAGTCTGTGACTGCTTTAGCTTTGCCTAAGAAAGTAATAAGCCTGTCTTAATACACCTCTACCTTGATATAACGCTGTCCTCGGGAGCCAAAAAATCTTACCGTGTTATAGGTGAAACCGCGTTATGTTGAACTTGCTTTGATCCACCGGAATGCGCAGCCCCGGCCCCCCGGAGCACTGCTTTACCACGTTATATCTGAATTCGTGTCACATAAGGTCGCGTTATATCGAGGTAGCCGTGTACTACTACTTCTCTTTTGGCTCCTTATTGGGTCTTTCAGTACAATTATAACCGTCTCTAGGTTTTGCTACAAATTTATTAAAATATGTCCTTTTACTTAACAGCAGTTGTAATTCACCACCATCGAAATTCTGCTCCAATATCTTTCACAGCTACAGAAAGGCTAAATTGACAGTACGTATTGTGCCTCTCTCAAAATAGATAAACTATGACACCGTTCCTCGAGAACTTATTTTAATTCCTAGCATGTCCAATTTAGACAACTTTCTGGATTGCCTGGATGAGAAACCAGTGCTCAGGGAATACATAGGCTCTGAGCCAGGAGCTTTCCCACATTGCTTCATGGATATTGTGCAAGCAGGGATATTGTGCAAGCAGAAATGCTAGGGGCTGAGACTGCCAACCTCCCTGGCTGGGACAACACTCATAGGTAAACATTTGGAACATATCAGTTAAAAGAAAATGTCTGTTAAGTGCTGTATTATTTGTCACACATCTTATGCATGTATATTCATCTCTCTCTTCATACCCTCAGCACATATAAGCTTCTCATTTTGCACAGGCAAAAGGAAGAATAAATTTTTCCTTGTTATTCCTTAGAGGAAAAGGATGGATTCAAATAACCCAGCCTCGTATGTCAGAAGGCAGATTAAAAGTTTCTGTTGACCACAGAGAGGTCTCCTCTGTGGATGTGTTTAACCATTTGCATTGGACTTTTATGTCAGTTGTACATTTGAATACTTTGTTTAAATATTATCATACCTTCCCTATTCTGGGCTAATTTACACCTTCATTTTTACAGTTATGATGTTATTTCAGTAAGTAATGGTCAGAAAAGTAGTAATATCTTCCTTGTATTGAAGATGATTTAAAAAAAAAATGCTATGTTCAATGCACTTTAATTCCATTGTGTGTCTAGTTTAAAACCAGAGGGGAATGCCAGGTCCTTTTATTAGGCATGGAAGTGGCTCTTTTGCACCTACAATGATGTCCTGCATCTGACTGAAAGGGCAAGGTGAGAAACTCTAATGTGAAATGGTGTTTTTATTATTCTAAAATACAATTATCTGTTCTTAAAATCAGAAGTAGTCTATTTTTGTCTAATTCCTTTACACTAATTAAATAAACCTTGATCACTGGAACAACTTATTTGTCAGAAGAGGATGAGTCTATGCTTCATCACTTCTGCTATCAGTCACTGATAGAAAATAATTGTGATTCCTTCTGTAGTCTAATTTCTGGTATATACTTGGGATGCCAAAAAACACAGGGGGACAAATTCTGCCCTCAGATACACATATGCAACTCCCACTGACTTCAGTGGGATTTGGGCATGTATCTGAGGGCCGAATTACATTCCTCAGAACTCAAAATTTTCAGATTGTAATAAACTCTGTAAAAACACATTTTCCTTAATTATACAAGACGTATTCATGTCTTCAGGCTCTCTTATGTGGTCAATAAGGAGAAAAATATACAAGCCTTTTTTTTTTTTTTTTTTTTTTTTATTTTATTTTAAATTTAACACCCCCTTATTGCAGTGTTTCGCGTGTTCTAAATGGATCTGTGTATGGAACACATCTTTTCATATAGCTCGAACATCCAGCAGTTAAAAACAGTCAGATGGCCAGGGAGCTGAATAATACAAAAGTTCTATAGGCAACTAAAACCCTCCATCTGTATTCATTCATTCATACTAGGAAACTATATATAGTTAAAATTTTAGCATTTGACTGTTTAAGAACATAAGAACGGCCATACTGTGTCAGACCAAAGGTCCATCTAGCCCAGCATCCTGTCTTCCGACAGTGGCCAATGCCAGCTGCCCCAGAGGGAATGAACAGAACAGGTAATCATCAAGTGATCCATCCCGTCGCACATTCCCAGCTTCTGGCAAACAGAGGCTAGGGACACCATCCCTGCCCATCGTGGCTAATATCCATTGATGGACCTATCCTCCATGAATTTATCTAGTTCTTTTTAGAACCCTGTTATAGTCTTGGCCTTCACAACAGTCTCTGGCAAGGAGTTCCACAGGCTGACTGTGCGTTGCTTGAAGAAATACTTCCTTTTGTTTGTTTTAAACCTGCTGCCTATTAGTTCCATTTGGTGGCCCAAATCGTTCTTGTGTTATGAGAAGAAGTAAATAACACTTCCTTATTTACTTTCTCCACACCAGTCATGATTTTATAGACCTCTATCATATCCCCCCTTAGTCATCTCTTTTCCAAGTTGAAAAGTCACAGTCTTATTAATCTCTCCTCCTACGGCAGCCGTTCCACACCACTAATATTTTTTTTTTGCCCTTTTCTGAATCTTTTCCAAGTCCAATATACCTTTTTTGAGATGGGACAACCACATCTGCATGCAGTATTTAAGATGTGGGCATACCATGGATTTATATAGAGGCAATATGGTATTTTCTGTCTTATTATGATCTCTTTCTTAATGATTCCCAACATTCTGTTCGATTTTTTGACTGCCTCTGCACATTGAGTGGATGTTTTCAGAGAACTATCCACAATGACTCCAAGATCTCTTTCTTGAGTGGGAACACCTAATTTAGACCCCATCATTTTATATATGTAGTTGGGATTACGTTTTCAAATGTGCATTACTTTGCATTTATCAACATTGAATTTCATTAGCCATTTAGTTGCCCAATCACTTAGTTTTGAGAGATCCTTTTATAGTTCTTCACAGTGACTTAACTATCTTGAGTAGTTTTGTATCATCTGCAAATTTTGCCACCTCACAGTTTACCCCTTTTTCCAGATCATTTATGAATATGTTAAATAGGACTGGGCCCAGTACAGACCTATGGGGGACACCACTATTTACCTCTCTCCATTTTGAAAACTGACCATTTATTCCTACCCTTTTAACCAGTTACTAGTCCATGAGAGAACCTTCCCTCATATCCCTTAACAGCCTTTGGTAAGGGACCTTGTCAAAGGCTTTCTGAAAATCTAAATACACTATATCCACTGGATCCCCCTTGTCCACATGCTTGTTGACCCTCTCAAAGATTTCCGGTATACTGGTGAGGCATGATTTCCCTTTACAAAAACCATGTTGACTACTCCCCAACAAATTATGTTCATCTATGTGTCTGACAATTTTGTTCTTTCCATAGTTTCAACCAGTTTGCCCGGTACTGAAGTCAGGCTTACTGGACTCTAATTGCCGGGGTCACCTCTGGAGCCCTTTTTAAAAATTGGCATCACATTAGCTATCCTCCAGTCATTTGGTACAGAAGCGGATTTAAATGATAGGTTACAGACTACAGTTAGTAGTCCTGCAATGTCACATTTGAGTTCCTTCAAAACTCTTGGGTGAATACCATCTGTTCCTGGTGACTTATTACTGGTCAATTTATCAATTTGTTCCAAAACCTCCTCTAATGACGCTTCCAATCTAAGACAGTTTCTCAGATTTGTCATCTAAAAAGAACGGCTCAGGTTTGGAAATCTCCCTCACCTCCTCAACCGTGAAGACCGATGCAAAGAATTCATTTAGTTTCTCCACAATGGCCTTGAGTGCTCCTTTAGCATCTCGATCATCCAGTGGACCCACTGGTTTTTTAGCAGGCTTCCTGCTTCTGATGGACTTAAAATTTTTTATGCTATTACTTTTTGAGTCTTGGGCTAGCTGTACTTCAAATTCTTTTTTGGCCTTCCTAATTATATTTTTACACTTCATTTGCCAGAGTTTAGGCTCCTTTCTATTTTCCTCAGTAGAATTTAACTTCCACTTTTTAAAGGATGCCTTTTTGCCTCTCACTGCTTCTTTTGCTTTGTTGTTTAGCCACTGTGGCTCTTTTTTTGGTTCTCTTACTATGTTTTTTTTAATTTGGGGTATACATTTAAGTTGAGCCACTACTATGGTGTCTTTAAAAAGTTTCCATGCAGCTTGCAGGGATTTTACGTTTGGTGCTTTGTCTTTCAATTTCTGTTTAAACGAACCTCCTCATTTTTGTGTAGTTCCCCTTTCTGAAACTAAATGCTACAGTGTTGGCCCGCTGTGGTGTTTTCTCCACCACTGGGATGTTAGAGTTAATTATATTATGGTCACTATTACCAAGCGGTACAACTATATTCACCTCTTAGACCTGATCCTGTGCTCCATTTAGGACTAAATCAACAATTGCCTCTCCTCTTGTGGGTTCCAGGACTAGCTGCTCCAAGAAGCAGTCATTTAAGGTATCAAGAAACTTTATCTCTGCATCCTGTCCTGAGGTGACATGTACCCAGTCAATATGGGGATAGTTGAAATCCCCCATTCTTATTGATTTTTTTTTTATTTTAATAGCCTCTCTAATCTCCCTGAGCATTTTACAGTCACTATCACCATCCTGGTCAGGTGGTCGGTAATATATCCCTAACGCTATATTCTTATTATTCAAGCATGGAATTACTATCCATAGAGATTCTATGGTACACTTTGGTTCATTTAAGATTTTTACTTCATTTGATTCTATACTTTCTTTCACATCTAGTATCACTCCCCCACCAGCACGACCTGTTCTGTCCTTCCAATATATTTTGTACCCTGGTATTATTGAGTATCCTCATTCCACCAAGTTTCTGTGATGCCTAGATCAATATCCTCATTTAATATGAGGCACTCTAGTTCACCCATTTTATTATTTAGACTTCTAGCATTGGTATATAAGCACTTTAAAAACTTGTCACTTTTTAGCTGTCTCCCATTACATGATGTAATTGAATTAGACTTTTTTCATTTGACTGTTCCTCATCAGATCCTACCTGTATTTTATCATCTTCCATCCTCTCCTCCTTAATAGGACATAAAACAGTGGTTCTCAAACTTTTGTACTGGTGACCCCTTTCACATGGCAAGCCTCTGAGTGTGACCCCCCCATATAAATTAAAAACACTTTTTTATATATTTAACATCATTATAAATGCTGGAGGCAAAGCAGGAATTGGGGTGGAGGCTGACAGCTTGCGACCCCCCATTTAATAACCTTGCGACCGCCCTGAGGGGTCCCGACCCCCAATTTGAGAACCACTGACATAGAGAATCTCCATTAATAGATCCTCCCCTAAGGGATGTCGCTATTTGGACCATGTGCTACTCCGTTTACATTGTTTATATGTATATGGTTTGTTCCTGCTATACTAAAGAAAAGCATACCTGGATTTGAAAGGAAAGATGTTTCCTTAGTAGTATAGCCAACAATTCCGATTTTTTCTGAACCAACAAGTAGTATTTTATAAGGCTGAAAATATCCAGCGATCCTGGATGCTACTGATCTGCTTGCCTGAATGTTTGCACTCAGAATTGAAAAATTAACATTTTTAAGTAGCGGATCCAATAATCCATCCAGACCATTATCAAACTCATGGTTCCCCAAAGCCTACGAAAAACAAAAAGGAAAAATATTAGACACCCCCAAATAATCACTGTAAGTGCTCTCTCAGAAATTACATACTGGGCATTTCTAGCATAGACGCTCTCCCGTCGACTCTGGTACTCCAATGGAGTGAGAGGACAGGCGGAATCGAATGGGGAGCGTCAGCAGTCAACTCACCGCAGTGAAGACACCGCAGTGAGTAGATCTAACTACGTCAACTTCAGCTATGTTATTCACGTAGCTGAAGTTGCGTAATTTAGATCGATCCCCCGAGTGTAGACCAGACCAAATACAAAATTAAAATGCAAATACAGCACACTGCCATGTAAAATGTAAACTACTAAAAAAATAAAGGGAAAGTTTAAAAAAAGATTTAACAAGGTAAGGAAACTGCTGCTGTGCTTGTTTCGTTTAAATTAAGATGCTTAAAAGCAGCATTTTTCTTCTGCATAGTAAAGTTTCAAAGCTATCTTAAGTCAAGGGTCACTTGTAAACTTTTGAAAGAACCACCATAGCGTTTTGTTCAGAGTTAGGAACATTTCAGAGTTACCAACAACCTCCATTCCCCAAGTGTTCCTAACTCTGAGGTTCTACTGTAGTAGCACTACCTCCCCTACCTTGTCTCGCCAACATTCAGTGACCAGGCTTTCAGCTCAAGGCAAATATTACCTCGCCTTTTGCCGCAGGTTCACAACATCCTTCACTGCTTCACCAGGCCAACCTAAGGGCTCAGCTGGGAGCTCTGCCCCTGTCTCCCAGGGGCCCCTGTGGTTCTTACTGAGCACCAGCCACTGCCCAACCTGCGCATCTGGCGAAGCGCTGCGACGGCGCAAGCCTTAGCGGGTCAATTTCAAAACGCAGGGAACTGGAACCCATTTCCCTGCAGCTACACCACCACCCTGCGCCCTTCCCTTGCACCAGCCCCCTCATGCTGCCTCTCCAGCCGCACCCCAGCCCGGCAGCGCCCCCGATCATGCACCACCTATGCACACACACCTCTCCTCCCGTAGCCCCAAGTTGCACTAGAGCCGCCGCCCTTGCCTGACCCCCCGCGAGGTGAGAGGCGCCTGCGCCTTACCATAGCATCGTAGCCCAGGAGGTTCATGAAGCGCACCACTTCCCGCCCCTTGAAGTAGCTGAACCACACCGTGCCCTGGTACTGGTCGCCGGCGTCCAGGAGCAGCACGTTGGGGTGGGTGGCTCGGATCTCCTGGATCTTGGTGTATCTCCGCGCCACCCCGCCATAGCAATCCTGGGGGCGGCCGCTGGGGCGGCTCTGACACTTGCCGGAGTCGCGGCTGGTCTGTTCCACCCGCGCGTGGACGTCGTTGGTGTGGAGGAGCGTGAGCTGGAAGGCGGCCCGGGCGGCGTGCGCCAGGCACAGCAGCGCGGCCAGCCCCAGCCAGGGGCTGAGCGTCCCGCGCAACCTCCCCATGCCTGCCCCGCGCGCAGCTGCTGCAGCTTAAAGCGGGGCCCCACGGGGCCGGTAGCACCGAGGAAGATCCATGGCAGGTAGTGGGAGGGTTTGACGGCTCCTCCACCCTCCCCACAGGGCTTGAGTGTGGGCGGTTAATCTAATCTAATCTTTGTGTTCCTGCAGCTGCCGAAGTGCGGGGTGGGGAGAGATACAAGGGTGTCCGAAGAGTGCCCTATCCCAGATAAAGTTACACACACTGTTCCTTCCCCTGCCTCGCTCGAAACGGGGCGAGGCCGGGCGGCTGAGAAATTGCGTGTTCTTGCTTTGCCCTGCAGCCGCAGGAGGCCGGGCTAGGCAATATGTATAGTCCTGTCAACAGGACGTGATTCAGGCGCCAGGGTGGCTTGGCCAGCAGAGTGTTTGAGTTGGCGATCACGGGCTATTTGCAAGAACTGCATTGGCTAGCTGTTCCTCCTAGAACACCTGTAATCCACACGCACTTTGTCAACAGATTTAACTTGTAATGGGCAAGAGTTTTCACTGCGTCGGTTTGCCTAAATCCCTCATGAAAATACAGCCACAGCTCGGGTGGGGATGGACTGCTCCTCAGCAATCCCCTGAGAGGAAAACTCCACCAGGAACCGTCCCGTTCTCACAAGAAGCCTCAGTGTATCTTTAATGTGCAGGCAGAGCACGCAAGACCTGTTTTAAGGTATTTTCCACCAATGACCCCATAATACTTGGGCTGTCAGTCCCAGGGCCTGGGGTGGGCTCCAGTTGTGAGCCCCGCAGGGCTGACAGCTTGGGGTAGTGGGGGAGCTGGTAGCTGGCAGGGGGCTCCAACTGTCAGTGCCCCACAATGTCTAACACAGGTAAGTCAGTGGAAGGTGAGGACGAGCACTGCTGACAGAAGGAGCATAGTGTGAACATGAAACACTGCTTTAATTACTGCTCTGACTGTACATCCCTTTAAGTTGACTTAATTTTGTAGTGTAGGGCAAGTCTATCCACTTCATAATTGCTTAAAATTAAGGTGCCATTTTAACCTTAAATAGTGTCACCAGTACAATAGTCTATTTAATTATAGCTTTAGTGATCTTATTGTCGTTTCAGTAGATTTCACATACTGATTTAAAAATAAGACCTTTCTGTTCTGTGGTTGGATGCTAAATTTATAGCTGAGGCTTGAGTATATATAGTGAGGTAGAAAACAACAGAGGGTTTGAAATGATAAACAACTTTAGAGAATAGATTTAAATTGCAAGTGACAGCTGGGATGAAAATTATAATAAAGCTTCCTCGTAGTTGGTGGATGTAGTTCCACATGTTTTATATTTATTACACAACCAAATTACCAGAGAGCAAAGAAAGACTATTTGATAGCCTTTGTGTAAGTACTGTAACTATTGTATGTCAAAGCATTTCTTCACACGATCTGATTTTGCAAGTCGTTTCCTTGTTTTATCTCCACATCACTCTTGAAAACAAAAATTTGTAACTGTGGGGAAAATGATACTTTATCACAGGGTTGGGTAAGGCTGTATCAATTGCTGTCTTTTTCGTGTTGGGATGATGTCAGGCCCATGTCTCCTTGGAATCTGAAGTTGCTGAGATGGAATTTGCACTGAGTTCGGTCTATGTTCCCTTCTCCCCTCCAACCCCAGTTTACTGAAAAGTAAATGAAGTTTCGTATTTTTCTGCACTGTTATGTCCTGTGCGTGGTTTGTGAACATTGACTGAAGAATCCATCCATGTCGGAATTTAGATAATGGAGATTTCTACAGGCATCAAAGAATCCTGCTATAAAGTGAAGTGATCTGTGACTACCAGAACAGTATGAAAAGCTATCTAATTTCATCTGCTTCTCAGCTGTTAGGATGTCTCTTTTCCTCAACCTACAAAGTTAGGTTGATGTACGTCACCTTTCATCAACCTGTTTGTGCCTCTCTCTACACTGAAAATTGTCTCTGACAGATGTAAACGCCCCGTTATGGTGATGCAGTAAAACCACCTTCCCATATGGTGCGGAGCCATGGTCGACCCACCGAGGTCAATGTAGTTTCAGTGAAGACACTGTGCAACCTTTGGTGATCCTAACAGTCCATCAGCAGCTGTCCCAAAATGCCCCATTCCCTGAGACAGTGACCATTCTGATCACAATTGTGAACTCCACTGCCCAGGGCTCACAGAGATCAGAAGCCACACACCCCTTAAAAGCTCCCACATATATTTGAAATGCCTTTTCCTGGTTGCTCAGCTTGGCAAGCATACCTACCAGCACTCCCTGTCAAATAAAGTAAAAATACTAAATGAATCAAACTGTACCAGAGAATCTCTCTGGATAGAAATTCCTTGCTTGAACATTCAGAGTATAGAAGTAGGAAATTTACTACCAACCACCTTACCAGGATGGTGATGGTGACTGTGAAATGCTCAGGGAGATTAGAGAGGCTACAAAGGCAGAAAACAATATAGTGGAGGATTTTACCTATCCTCCTATTGACTGGGTACATGTCACCTGAGGAAAGGATAGATGACTGCTTTGAAGAGCAGCTTGTGCTGGAACTCCAGGGGAGAGGCAATTCTTGATTTAGTCCTTAGTGGTCCAAGAGGTGAATATAGCTGAACCGCTCCTTAATAGAAATCATAAAGTAATTAAATTTAATATCTTTGGGAGGGGGAATGCCAAAGAAATGCTATTGTCGTGGGTTTAACATAAAAAAGGGGAACTACACATAAATGAGGAAGTTAGTTAAAAGGAACAGTCACAAGGGGGAAATGCTTGTAAACTGCATAGAGACTATTATAAAAACTACATAGTAGGTGTTCAAACTAAATGTATACCTCAAATAAAAGAAAAAACAGTAAGAGGAGCAAAAAATAAAGGCGGGGGGGGGGGGGGAATGCTACCATGGCTAAACAGCAGAATAAAAGAGGGTGTTAGATGCAAAAAAGCATCCTTTAAAAATTGGAAGTCAAATCCCTGGGAGGAAAATAGAAAGGAGCATAAACTCTGGGAAATCAAATGTAAATAATAAAGCAGGCCAAGAAAGAATTTGAAGAGCAACTAGCTAAAGATACAAAAACTAACAGCAAAAAAAAAAATGTATATCAGAAGCAGGAAACCTGCAGAACAGTCAGTGGGGCTGCTGGTCAACTGAGGTGCTAAAGGGGCATTCAAAGAATATGGGGCCATTATGGAAAAGCTAAATGAATTCTTTGTATTGATTCCCATGCCTGAGCCATTCTTTTTAGGTGACAGATCTGAGGAACTGTCCAGGATTGAGATGTCAATTGAAGAAGTTTTGGAACAAATTGATGCATTAAACAGTAATAAGTCACAAGGACCAAATGGCATTCGCCCAAGAGTTCTGAAGGAACTCAAATATGAAATTGCAGCACTACTAACTGTGGTATTGTGAAAGTAGAATGAATTATATTGTAAAAATAGAATGGATTAAAGAAATGCTGTATGTACCTTTAAGCAGAAATAAGGAATGCTGAAATACAGGTGTCAGGAAAAGGAACATTAAGGCATAAACAATGAGTCCGCTTAAGCTAATGGTGGAACATCAGCCAGAGATCTGTAAAAGTTAGTAAGAAAATTGAATATGTATGTCTAGCCTCGGGTAAACTTGTCAGTTCTGCTTTCTTTGTCCTCTTGTTAAGTTCGCGCCCTTTTTATCTGTATAAATTAAGGTAGTGTGGGTCTTGGATGGTGCTCACGTTATCTGGGTGTTATTAGCAGAGCGCTGTGCTAATAAAACAGAGTGGTCTGACAAACTGTGAGTCCTGAGTCTAACTTTGACAATTTGGAGGTCCCACTGAGATGGCAACCGTCTTCACTGGGGCCGTGTGATTCCTGATCATTTTTGTAGGATGACCGTGGCAGCCGGCACCTGGGCATTTGGCCCGAGCGGTCCTCCTCCTGAACGGAAGGGCGCACAACCACAGTGAAGTCTACGCCATCGAACCTGTTGGTTCCCACTCAGTTCTGGTAGGGATCCCGGGATCTGACATCAGGAATCTGGTCAGGTAATTATTTCTGTGTTTTGTCCGGACTGAGGACTGTCCTGTCTCTGTGTCTATCCGTCCTCCTGTGGAGTGTTTGAGTCTGGGTGCCATCTCCGTCCGGGGATCGGCCGACCAAAGGGTTCCTGTCCCCGTGGTCTGAGTGAGTGAAATCTGTACAATCGCAGCTGCACCGCACCTTGGGTAAAACCCTTGGTGTGAAAGCAAGGGCGATTGAGGCAGTAGCCTGTGGGCTCCTTTTGTGTGTTGCACCGGGCATCGCTCTGACGAACCCGAATTTCCTTCTTGTGTGATTGGTGTGTGTAAAGTCCTCCTGTATGGGTAACCAGACGTCTAAGTCGGGACAGTTCCCTAAAGGAACGCCGGCTCATTTTATGTATTTTAGGAAGGGTCCGGACTCCTGTAAATTTCTGGAAAAATGGTCTAGGCTAACTCAGTGGCCACTGTTAAAATCTTGGAATAAAGACCGAGTGAACGTCTTAAAAGACAAACTTGGCCAACCTAAAACTAAATTGGCTAAAGGAGAGGTTAATTGTTTCATGCAGTGGTGGGAAGAGGCAAATCGTAGGTGGAGAAAATCAAAACTTGTCTCTCTCAAATATTCAAATAATAAGTTAAAAGCTTTATTAAAAGCCTCCTCTCCCACCACCAGACCGAGCGCTCCCCTTTACCCCATTCTCCAAAAAAACCCAACCCGGATCGATCCCAACCCCCTCCATACTCCCATCTCATTGTAAAAAGGACAAAAAGCCCCTTGTTCTGTTCCCCTTCGTTGTCTGCCTCAGAAACTGATTCTTTAGTTTTCCACTACCAATTCAGCATGGAGGGTGGGCTCCTCAACTAGCCCCCCCCCCTTCCTGGTCCCTTTCCTTAAACATTTCTTTCAAACTTGTGAAATGACCACAATATCACTCACAAAAACGGTTCATTGGAAAAAGCAGGATCGGGCCCAGACAAGTAGGCAAGCAACAGATAAAGAAACTGAAAAACAGGTTGGAAGCCCTAAGGGCAGAGTGTCAGGAGTAAGAAAAGCAGTAAGTGCAAGCATGAACCCCTGGAAGAATACTTAAATTGGTGAAATCTGAGTTGATAAAGGTGTCATTTTGGGAGATAAACAAGTGATTTAAGGAAAGAAAGTGAAAAGTTAACTCTACAGAGGCTGGAAAGAATTAAGCAGTTAAA